GCAGAGCCACCGAGCCCGGCCTAATTTTTCATTTATTGTAGAGACGAGGTCTTGCCAAGTTGCCTGTGCAGGTCTCGAACTTGTGGGCTCAGGCAATCCACTTGTCTTGGTCTCCCAAAGTGCTGGGATTACAAGCTGAGCCACCAAGTCCAGCCCTGAACTTATTTTTACATATATCAGTTTCCTTAGGAATCATACCTTTGGACACAGTGACTGATATTTGCATAACTGGCTTCAACTTTATCATCTTCCCTTTCCTCATGCGTGTTGAATGAGTACTTGTACTTTAACACTGAGAAAAATGCAGGACCATAGGCACTTATGTGCACCCCAAACATGATTCTGTCCCAGCTTTTGTTACATGGAATTAAAATTGCCTGCTGTTCGACTATGCAAACTAGAGTAGGATCATGCCTTGTCACCATTCAATGGCATTCCATTCACAGTCCTTAAGTCCAGCCCTTATTATGGCATAAAATATGCTCTGGTCCCCACTATCTTCGGCTTGACCTCTCAGTGCTGTCCTCTATCTGATGGTCCCTCTACCAACTTGCCAAACAAAAGGTCCTGATACTAATAAAATACTGACATGCAAGGCCCACATTGACACTCCTTCTGGACTGCCAATGTACCACATTTTTTCTGATAATAGCTTTTGCACAGCTTTTCCCCTGCTCCATTCTTTTTGGCTAAGTCTTATTCTCCGGGTATACTTCAGACACTACCTTCTCTGACAACCTCCCTCTCAAATCTGAGTTAGCCTCTTTCAAGCACACCTTTGTTAGGGCTTGTTACAGCACTTCTCACATTTTACAGTAACTGCATGCCTAATTACGTGTCTCACCAGACCAAGCTGTGTGAACCAAGTCACAGTCTTGTTCATGAATGTTTTTGCCGTGTTAATAGTGCCTGGAATTTAGGGTTACACGATAAACGTTGAGTTACACTGAACTTGACAGTGGCAAACACTTGGCACACACAAATTCAGTGAAAGATAGCCTAAGCAGTTGTCTGCTAGGAGACAAGGTATTTGGGGTTGATGAGGGCAAAAAGAAACAAGATTGGTAAAGTCAAGTGGACACTTCAAGGAGCCAAGTGCTATTTTAACCTAAGAAAATTCCGTACATGCACTGTTAGCCACAGAGAAGATTAGAGGTGTTCTGTATAGCGACAGAGGAGGAAGTAGCAGTGAAGTGAATAGCAAATGTTTATTTGGAGGACTTTCTGGTGAGACTATGTGGTTAAAAACAGTCGCATTACATATCATGAATCAACTAGACATCTGTAGTTCTTAACTAGTACTATCTGATCTCATACGTTTTCTCTTTTTCTGATTAATTTTAATACTCATGCACTGTATGAAAGAGAAAACTCACACAGATTACTATTATCATGGCAGTCAATATCTTTGCCATGCTTTCTATGCATATTTTACAGTTACTGAATACTTTTTGAAAATAGGTAGTTTCAGTTTTGGTCACCTGTGTTTACTCAAGCAGTTAAGTTAGGCATTACTTCATATTTCAGAAGAGTAGCAAGCAGTCTCTACAGAGACTCTTTCTTGCCTATCAATTAGAAAAGCTGTGCTCTTTATTACGCTAAAGCAGCAGTATTTTTTTTTTTTAAAGATGTGGGGTACAATTCAGGATTGGGCATACAAACTTTGATTATGCAGGTACCCTTGTTGATGAGGTATGCCCTTCCCTCCCCTAGCAGTTTCCCTCAACTGCCAATCCCATCCCCCTCCCCTGAGAGTTTCCCATTATTGCCAAATGCTTTCTTATAGTATTATAATTGTTCAGGGTCCGCTTATGAGTGAGAACATATGGTACTCTATTCTTTGTTTCTGTGATAGATCACTGAGTATGATCAACTCCAAATCCATCCAAGTTGCTGCGAAGTCCATATATTTGTCCTTCTTTATGGCAAGCAGCAGTATTCTAAATGCAGTGAGTAAATTTGGGATTGACTGGATAAAATATCAATACTATTAAAGGATTAATATTACACTGTGAGCCATAATGCCTTCACAATAAATATGCAACCATCTTTTGGTTACCATCAGCTGGTATTACAAGCTTTGCTATGGATTTAAGAATAACAATGCATTTAGAAACACACCAATGAGTGAATCAAGACTGTAAGTCCACCGGAAAAGCCAATGAGTGATCAGTCTTTCCTATACCCTCAATAAAGTGGCTCCAGAAGACAGACTGACACCAATCACTTCTATTTACTTTAGAAAGTAATATCCTATTTAGAGCCATTGATGTCACTAAATTATGACTTTGTTTAAATATCTGTATGCTAATTTATTTTTGCAAAAACAGATAGAAAAATCAGACAAATTAATAAGATGGATCAAAATTGGATTTAAAATGTAGGTCATGAGTCGGGCTCGGTGGCTCAGCCTGTAATCCCGCGCCTTTGGGAGGCTGAGGTGAGTGGATTACCTGAGCCTGTGGGTTCGAGACTCGCCTGGGCAGCGAGACCTCATCTCTACAATAAATAAATAAAAAAAAAAATCAGCCAGGCATGGTAGTATATGCCTGTAATTCTGGCTACTTGGAAGGCTGAGGCGGAAGGATCGCCAGAGCCCAGCAGGTCGAGGCTGCGGTGGCCAGGAGCAGCCACTGCACTCCAGTCTGGGCGACAGAGTGAGACTCCAACTCAAAACAATAATAATAATAATAATTAAAAAATGTAGGTCATGGCTCTGTCCTAATGTTAAAAATGTAACAAACATGCATAATTAGAATACCACCCTCTGCTCTCTTTTGGGGAGGCTGTATAGGATCTTTCTGCGATTTTAGCAAAGAAAAACAGTCCAAATATTATTTAAACTACTGACATGATTTACCTGTATCACTTTGGCACATGGCATTACTATTTCTTCTACTGTAGCTGGTTCTAGTTTTCTCAAGACTTTTTTCTGGTTAATTTTAATACTCACACACTGTATGAAAGAAAGTCATACAAATCTACTATTCTGAAAACAAAGCTTAAATATACTTCAAACCTTCAAATTAAGATGTTATCCTCAGCTGGGCTTGGTGGCTCAGCCTGTAATCCCAGCACTTTGGGAGGCTGAGATGAGTGGATTGCCTGAGCCGCAGGTTCAAGACCAGCCCGGGCAACTTGGTGAGACTTCGTTTCTACAATAAATCAAAAATTAGCCGGGCATGGTAGTGTGTGCCTATAGTTCCAGCTACTTGGAAGGCTGAGGCAGAAGGATTGCCGGAGCCCAGCAGGTCGATGCTGGGGTGGCCGTGAGTGTGCCACGGATGACAGGTGAGAATTCAATTAAAAAAAACATTATCCTCATATATTCATGTACCAAGTTGATATAGTCACATATATCCTTTCCAATTTCAGGCTAAACAGATATGCATTAAGAATTGTATTAATGGATCAAAGCAAAAGACAACTCAACTTAATATCAACAGAAACAGTGACTATTCATGTAGTATTTGATAGAGAAAACATAGATTTTTGACAAATCTTATTTTATTCAGATAGCAGTCTGATCACATATGGTCCAAAAACACTCAGATAACAAGTCAAATATCATCAGATGTTAAAGACTGGTCTTCAAACATTATAGCCAATGATGCCACGCTTGCCTATGATCTCTCCGACATAAAACCACATCCACACCTCAGTGGCCACCAAACCATTCAGCACAGCTTCCTGAAAAAAGAAGTACAAATTTTAAGGTACCTTTTGTTTCTTTTATATTTAATACTATTCCAGGATTAAGAGTCAGAGGATATAAGGATCCTATTCAAACTAGAAGCAGTTTTAGTCAAAATTGAGAACTACTGATGTTAACTTTGTTCAGCTGCTGAGAACCCTTCAACTTTCAATTTTGAAAGGTAAGTAGTCCAGAGCTTATAAATTCTTTCAAAGCATTCTTTAAAGACTTGAACTGACTTAACCCTTTCATTATTAGTTTATGAGACATTTTATGAGCCCTAAAACAACCCACATCCTGGAAATAGCTGACACAGTTAGATAGGGCATTCATATGAAAGGATGGCTCTAGGAAGGCTAAGTCTCTGAACAGATATTTCTTTTGGCCAAAATAAATCTGCTGAAAGAAGAAGGGCTCTGTCTTTCCCTGTAGACATCTTTTTAATTCATGTATTATTTGACTTAATCCTTTCCAAATATTCAGTATTGTTTCACAGATCAACATTTTATTGTTTCTAAGAGAAAAACATATGGTTCGAGAAAGCACTAGTTCATGCAAGCAAAAATTTTCCTTTTAGCACTTCTGGAAGTAAACTTTTCCCATCAAATTAGACCAGAAGTTGGCCAGGCTCGGTGGCTCAGCCTGTAATTCCGGCACTTTGGGAGGCTGAGGTGAGTGGACTGCCTGAGCCCGCGGGTTCGAGACCCACCCGGGCAATTTGGCGAGACCTCATCTCTACAATAAATCAAAAATTAGCCAGGTGTGGTAGTGTGCGCCTGTAGTTCTGGGTACTTGGAAGGCTAAGGCAGACGGATCACCAGAGCCCAGGAGGTCGAGGCTTCGGTGACTGGGAGTGTGCCACTGCACTCCAGTCTGGGTGATAGAGTAAGACTCCAACTCAAAAAAAAAAAAAAAAAATTAGACCAGAAGTTTATGGAAGTTTTCTGAAAAATAACCATACTTTCCAGGTTGTAGGTTCTAAAACCAGCAATTATTTAGTTATTTAAGCTTTTTGTGCTTGGATCACGAAACCCAAGTTCCAATTTTTATAATTTTTAGATTTTATCTCCATACAACCCAATAGTATTTTTAAATTTTAAAAAACTGGTATTTTTATCTACCATATAAATGTTAGCATCCTGACTGTGACATAGTTCAAGAGATGTCTTGGGCCAGGCATGGTGGTTCACACCTGTAATCCCAGCACTTTGGGAGACTGAGGTGGGAGGATTGCTTAAGTCCAGGAGTTTGAGTCCAGGTGAGGCAACATTGCGAGACCTCATCTCTACAAAATATCCAAAAATTAGCTGGGTGTGGTGGTACATGCCTGCAGTCCCAGCTACTTGGGAAGCTGAGTTGAAAAAAATCACCTGAGCCCAGGAGGTTGAGGCTGCAGTACGCTGTGATTGTGTCATTATACTCCAACCTGGGTGACAGAGTGAGACCCCAACTTAAAAAAAGATGATTTGGCTAAATTGGGAATAATTCCAGGACTACAGCTGAAAAAAAGTATAGAATCAGCAAAGTCATCACATTTTAGTATACTATCCAAAATAGAAAAGGAAAAAGGTTTCCCAGTAAAAATGCTCACTCTTTTTTTGCTATAGTTTAAGACTCCTAGGAAACTAAGACATAAAACAGGCAATTATTTCTACCCAGATGACAAAATTAGAAAAGAAAGTATCTTCCCTCAGCAGTCAAGGGATTATCTCTCATTATGTTGATTCAGCCTCACTGGAAAATACATATAGCAATGAAAACAATCAGAAAAATCCCAAGGGAAGACATTTTCTGTTATGCACATACGTTTTCATTTAGCCCATGGTTACCTTAACTGTGAGCTGTTTGAAGCTACCAGTTTGAGCACTATTGATTATTTTTTTCAGGCTCTGAATAGCTCTAGGGATCTCAGCAGGGGTTGGAGGAACCAGTTCAACCTTGGCATAGGACCAAAATGTGGCCAATCGAGGCTTCGAATAAGTCACAGCAGCTGGAAAACAAAACAAAACAAAAAACCAGGATGAACTCACTGGAGACTGAAAGAAGCAGATGTGTGGGCTGGACACAAATATTTATTCATGCATCACATTCATTCACTGCTTGTACCAAATGTGCAGCCGGTGTGAAAAGTCAAAGCTGCTCCCTGGTAACAAGAGGCTTTTAAAGATGTAGAACACCTGTGCCACAGGGAGTTCAATCAGGCAGGAAGCTATAAGTACATTCAATTATGCCAGTACTTCACTAGTAGCCAGCTAGTACTAGTACTGTTACTTCATTTATGAATGGCAAATCCAGTTAACTGTAAAGTTACTAGAAGCTGGATTTAAAAACAAGAAAGAAGAGGCAATTTATTCTTTTTTTTGGTAGAGAGACTAGCAAATTTGGAGCAAGAGGTACAGGAAGGAAGGAAAGGAGCTATGTAGAATGGTATTCTTAAGAATAAGATTAAAACTTATCACAATACTGGTCACAAATCCAGAAGGAATCATAACAATCAGTACCCATTTTGGGCATCCTCATCAACATGTGCTGGACTGAATCTTTCTCTCACAAAAGCACAGCTGCTCCTCTCTCAGAAACACCACAAATAATAAAAAGTAAAACCTACATATATTGCTAAGAACAGCCAAAACTAGAATATTACTAAGCTGAAATTCGGTATTTACTATGTCAAGAAAAGAGATCCTTAACAACTAGGTCAGTTGAAGACTACGGTAGTGATTTCAGAGAAATGTAATAAAACAGCATGAACATTCATAAAGTTGTCTATTGTTCAAAGACAGACTATCCAAGGCTCTTAGTACTTTTCCTATTATTCACTGCCTATATTTGAACATTTCTGAATTACTATCTTGTTCATCTTCTGTGTTGGGGCCATGGGTATATCTTTAAGCAGAAACAAAACTCTAAGAGAGACAGATCTAAACAGAACTGCCAATGCCTATAAGGGACAATCAAAAAGTACAAAGTCTTGTGTAACAGTCAACCAATTGTCTTTAAAATTTTCTTTGACACACAGATATTTCATCCTTCTAAAAAAAGGAAGTGAATCAGGTCAGGCATGGTGGTTCATGCTTGTAATCCCAGTGCTATGGGAGGCCAAGGCAGGATGATTGCTTGAGCCCAGGAGTTTGAGACCAGCCTAGACAACATAGTAAGGACCTTGTCTCTACAAAAAATAAAAAAATTAGCTGGGCAAGGTGGTATGTGCCTACAGTCCCAGCTATTCTGGAGGCTGAGGACTGCTTGAGCCCAGGAGCTTGAGGCTGCAGAAAGCTGTGTTCGTGCCACTACACTCCAGCCTGGGCAACAGCGACACCCTGACTCAAAAATAAAATAAAATAAAATAATCAGTACACTGTACATAAACACAGCTAATAGCTGCTAAACTTGCTTTTCAGGGAATACAGGTTAAAAGTTTGAAACTACTTTACATGTATACAAGAGATGAATAAAACCTAAGTAAATGAAGGTGGGTGGTAGAAGCCAGGTTTCTCACTGTAGAAGAGTAAGAAAAGCAACAAAAGCAACAAGAATAAACCGCATGGTACTGGATTAGAGTTGGAGACATCCATATGAACTCATGTTGAGCTTAATATATACACAAATAGATACAGAAACAACTGTTATTCATGGGTTAGTATGTACACACACATCTATATAGATGTATATATCTATATCCCTGCCCATTGAGAGGACCTCTATGTAGTGATATTCTAGTAGCAAGGAACATAAGCAGCACAAAGATCTTAGTTTCTTTTCTTTTCTTTTTTTTTAAGTTGGAGTTTTACTCCATCGCCCAGACTGGAGTGCAGTGGCACGCTCCCAACCACCACAGCCTCGACCTGCTGGGCTCCGGCGATTCTTCTGCCTCAGCCTTCCAAGGAGCTGGAACTACAGGCACGTGCTACCACGCCCAGCTAATTTTTGATTTATTGTAGAGATAAGGTATCGCCAAGTTGCCCAGGTGGGTCTCAAACCCGCGGGCTCAGTCAATCCACTGGCCTCAGGCTCCCAAAGTGCTGGTATTACAGGCTGAGCCACCGAGTCCAGCCCAGATCTTAGTTTCTAAACTCCATTGTCCAGTAAAAGGAACTAGGGCTTAGAGAAATGGTTGACTCTAAGGCTGGGACAGGAAAAACATGAGATGAGTCTGAAGCATCTTTTAGTACCACAAAGTAAGAGAGCATGTTAAAGGGACAGAGGTGCCAACCTGAAAGACCTAATTCACTTATGTAGATACAGGAGATGAAATCCCCCACTGCAACTCCACCCCTAAAGGTTAGACTTAGTTACTTGCTTCTAAGGAACAGAGTACGGAAAGAAAAAAACAGTAATTTTACAGTGGAAGAACCTATACCTATCAAACAATACCTTAACCAAATGATGAAAGTTTGTTTCAGCTGGGCTCAGAGGCTCAGCCTGTAATCCTAGCACTCTGGGAGGCTGATTGAGGTGAGTGGACTGCCTGAGCCTGCGGGTTCGAGACCAGGCCAGGCAACTTGGTGAGGGCTCGTCCCTACAATAACTAAAAAATTAGCCGACTGTGGTAGCACGCGCCTGTAGTTCCAGTTACTTGGAAGGCTGAGGCAGAAGGCTCACCGGAGCCCAGCAGGTCAATACTGGGGTGGCTGTGAGCGTGCCCTGCACTCCAGCCTGGGCCATGGAGTGAGACGCCAATTCAAAAAAATAAAATTTATATCATCAGTGATATCATATGGATATTATGTATCTCCTGACATGTGATTAGAGCACCTAACCTCTGTGGTATTTTCCCAAAAGTTCCAGGCCAGGTGTGGTGGCCCATGCCTATAATCCCAGCACTTTGGGAGGCTGAGGCAGGAGTACTGTATGAGTCCAGAAATTTGAGACCAGCCTAGGCAACATAGTGAGACCTTGTCTTTACAAAATAACAAAAAATTAGCTGGGTGTGGTGGCATGCACCTGTTGACCTAGCTGCTCGGAAGCTGTGGTGGGAGGATTGCTTGAGTCTAGGAGGTCAAGGCTGTGGTGAGCCGTGATCATGCTACTGCACTCCAGTGTGGGTGACAAAGTGAGACCCTGACTAAACAAACAAACAAAAAATCCACTGTTAGTCCGTTTTGTTTTGCTGTAAATGCATATCTGAGGTTGGGTAATTTATAAAGAAAAGAGTTTTATTTTGGCTCATATTACTGCAGACTGTGCAAGACCATACATAGTACTGGCATCTATTTCTGTGAGGACATCAGGAAGCTTACAACCATGAAGGAAGGTGAAGGGGGAGCATGACAAGAGAGAGAACAAGAAAAGGAGTGGACAGTGCTATGCTCTTTTAAACAACCAACTCTCAGGCTTGGTGGCTCAGCCTGTAATCCTGCACCCTGGGAGGCTGAGGTGAGTGGATTGCCTGAGTCCGCGGGTTCGAGACCCACCTGGGCAAGTTGGCGAGACGCCATCTCCACAATAAATTTAAAAAAATTATCTGGGTGTGGTAGCGCGTGCCTGTAGTTCCAGCTACTTGGAAGGCTGAGGCAGAAGGATTGCCGGAGCCCAGCAGGTTGAGGCTGCGGTGGCCGGGACCGGCCACTGCACTCCAGTCTGGGCGACAGAGTGAGACTCCAACTCAAAAATAAATAAATAAATAAAATAAACAACCAGCTCTCGAGTAAACTAACAGAGAACTCACTCATTACCGCAAGGATGGCACCAAGCCATTCAAGAGATCCTCTCCCATGACCCAAACACCTCCCACTGAGGCCCTCCCTCTAACATCAGGGGATATATTTCAAAAGATTTGAAGGGTACAAATACTCAGACTATATCACAGATTAATCATGTGAAAAACTCCAGACAGGCTGGGCGCAGTTGCTCATGCCTATAATTCCAGCTCTTTGGGAGGCCAAGGTGAGAGGACTGCCTGAGCCCACAGGTTCAAGACCAGCCTGGGCAACTTGGCGAGGCCTCATCTCTACAGTAAATCAAGAAAAATTAGCTAACTATGGTGACACATGCCTGTAGTTTCAGTTACTTGGAAGGCTGAGGCAGAAGGATCACCAGAGCCCAGCAGGTCGAGGTTGCAGTGGTCATGAGTGTGCCACTGCCCTCAGCTTGGGTAACTGAGATTCCGACTCAAAAAACAAAAAAACAAAACAAAAAAACTCCAGACAAATCCAGACTGAAGAAACCCTTCAGGAGACCTAGACAGATACCTAGATAGACACTGTCAAGGTCATAGAAAGATAAGGAAAGACTAGGAGAAACTGCCACAGACCCGAGGAGACTGGGGACACAGGAACGAAATGCAATGTGGTACTGTGGATTGGATCTTGGTACTGAAAGAGATTAATAGGAAAACTGGTGAAATCCAAATAAAGTCTAGAGTTTAGTTAAGGGGAAAAAAAAATCAGACTCTAATCTTCCTGGGCATGTCTATAATAAAATCACTTACTTTCATAAGCCTTTGTCCCTTGAATTAACAAATATAGTCAGTGATTTTTTTTTTTTTTGAGTTGGAGTCTCACTCTGTCGCCCAGACTGGAGTGCAGTGGCCGCTCCAGCCACCGCAGCCTCGACCTGCTGGGCGATCCTTCCGCCTCAGCCTTCCAAGTAGCTGGAATTAAGGCATGCACTACCACGCCCGGCTGATTTTTTGATTTATTGTAGAGATGAGGTCTCGCTGCCCAGGCGGGTCTCGAACCCGCGGGCTCAGGCAATCCACTCACCTCAGCCTCCCAAAGGCGCGGGATTACAGGTTGAGCCACCGAGCCCGGCTAGTCAGTGATTTTTATTGAATATTTAACATTCACATTTAATACAATGACCTATGTTATAAAGCAAACTGTATGTCCACTTTTATTATTATTATTATTTTTGAGTTGGTGTCTCACTCTGTCGCCCAGACTGGAGTGCAGTGGCCGCTCCCGGCCACTGCGGCCTCGACCTGCTAGGGTCCAGCGATCCTTCCATCTCAGCTTTCCAAGTAGCTGGAACTACAGGCGCACGCTACCATGCCTGGCTAATTTTTTGAGTTTTATTGTAGAGATGAGGTCTCGCCAAGTTGCCCAGGCGGATCTCGAACCCGCGGGCTCAGGTAATCCACTTACCTCGGCCTCCCAAAGCGCAGGATTACAGGTTAAGCCACCAAGCCTGGCCTGTATGTTCACTTTTAACATTCTGGTCCCTGTTGAGTCCTCCTTTCTAAGTACTTTTGGATGAATAACAAGTTATTTTTCAATTATTCACAATAATAGGAAAGGATTTATTATTTCATAACAAAAAAATTACTTTCATGTTAGTTTTCTTTTTGGATGACATCACTAAAACTAGTTTGCAATTCCCTAGCATGCACCACCTAAAAAATGTAAGACCATAACAGGAAAAAAAAGATCTACTTGAAGTTAAAAACTGTGCCTCAAATATTTCACAAACTCCAAACACTGAAGCCTCCAATTCTTCTTTTCTCTTTTTATTTGTATACAATTGTGGAGTTTTGTATCACCTTGACAATCTCAGTAAAAGCTGCAAGCTTAAGAAATTCACTGGGGCCGGGCTCGGTAGCTCAGCCTGTAATCCCAGCACTTTGGGAGGCCAAGGTGAGTGGACTGCCTGAGCCCGCAGGTTCGAGACCTGCCTGGGCAATTTGGCGAGACCTCATCTCTACAATAAATCAAAAATTAGCCGGGTGTGGTAGTGTGCGCCTGTAATTCCAGCTACTTGGAAGGCTGACGCGGGAGGACCACAGGAGCCCAGCAGGCCGAGGTTGCGGTGGCTGGGAGCCTGCCACTGCACTCCAGTCTGGGCGACAGAGTGAGACTCCATCTCAAAAAAAGAAATTCTTTGGGAAGAGGTGTAAAGTGTTTCACTAGTAGACTTCAGGGTTCCCTAGAAGAGAAGCAAGTATTCATCTGGCACTATCAGGCCTTCGACAACTCATTGTTTGGCTGGTGATGGAGGGAAGGAATGAGAGAAAGAATCAAACACAGCAATATAAGCTCGGTAACATTACATGTATTTTTTAAAATCCTGCTTTCTATTCACATTTCATAATCAAATCTGAGTGGAAGTTATTTAGAAGTCTAACCTTCAATCACTTACTAGAATATAGCACATTAGGAAGAAACTTACATTAATTTAACTTATCTCACTTCAGGAATAAAATGAATATCTAGCTACTCAGAAGACAACTGAAATATTTACTGGGAGAGCAGTACTCAGGACCACTACTCAGGGCTATTCTGAAACACAGTGGTCTGCCAGTGAGGTCCTTCAAACTGAAAAAATTACATGAATGTTAAGCTAAAATAACAAAGATCACTGTTCGTATGAATCTCTTTCTATCTATGCTTATCGGGGCGGGGATACTCATCCATAAAGTCCAACTCAACCTAAAATTTCCGTTGGATAAAAGTATCTCAGAATCTGTCCAGGACAAAGCAAAGTCAACGTTCCAAGACTCACCCATCCTTAAACATTTCTGTTGACTTCCAAATACTAAGCCGAGGACCAGACCACCTGATGAGGCCGAATTTATGTGCTTTCCCACGTTTTTGCCCTTCTTTTACTTAGCTCTCCTAACAGAGCCAACCCTCCATGTATCCCTGTGCTTAGAGATCTAAGGGGGTGTCATGGCGGCAGCGGCCGGGCAACCCCAGCCTTCCTTCACACCCCCTCCCTTCACTGCCGTGGTTATGATTCAAGAACTTCTAGGTTGTGCAGTACCCAAACTGCCGGCCAGATCAGCAGAAGGCTAGAAGTGAGTCGCAAACCCGCCTCCCGCTTTCTCCACCTTCAGGCCATCCCGCCCCGGCTCCCGCAGGCTCCCCTGGTCGCCGCAGCCCGTTTCTTCCTCTCAGGCCATCGCAGGCCTCCCTGTCGTCCGAGCACCCGCCTCGGCAACCCCACACGGCGCTCACCGTTCACCAGCCCCGGGGCTTTCTCCGCAAGGTTACGGACAAATTGGGCCATGGTTCCAGGATGGAATGTCCGTTGTCCCGAAAGGCCGGCCGAATGTCACCCCCTGGAAGGACCCGCTGCAGGACCCCGTCCCACTTCCAAGGTCAGGCTGCCTCTTTCTGCGCCGGACCAAGGTACTTAGGTGTCCTACGATTTTTACGGAATTCAACTGGTAAATTTATTTTTTTCAGCCACAGAGAGAGAGTGAGTATGAAAAGATAAGATGAGAGACCATATGAAAAACAATAGGATTCCGTAAAGAATCAGGCATTTCTTGGGGCAGCTATTCGCCGAGGTCCGGAAAACCGGCAACGAGCAGAAACGCGCATGCGTCCTTTAGCTCCGGTGCTTTCCTTGGCGCCATCGTACACTTTTTCGCGTAGGAAGCTTTCGCAGAGATTCTGAGAACGTGAGAGGTCTGTACTGGAGAAAGCTCGGTTGGGATACTACTAGACTAACGCGATCGTTTTACAGAGATAGAGCGGGTCCAGGGTCAAACATGTAAAATTGGCGGCCGAGTAGGCACCACACAACCTGTCACTGGACTCAGCCCGTTGCTTTTTTTTTTTAGCTGATCTTTTGTAATCCCAGTCTCTCTCGAATTCTGTATCCAATTCCCTTAATTCCCCAAACAGCCACAAGGAGCTATGCAGATGTGAGGAACAAAATCATTATTGAGCGTCCCCAGTATGTCAGGCATTTTGGAATGTAAAAGAAGCCTGTGTGGTGGGTATTGTCCCTATTGAGTCTGGGCTTGATACACGGTCATTTATTCCGGAAGCGGCAGGGTTGGGATCTGAAGTCGCCCTGTAAACACAGAGTTGGGGGTATCGGATCAGATTAGGCATGGTGCTGATCTGGAAGACTTCCTCAAGGAGATCCTTGAGTTGCTCTATAAGAGAACAGCTGAATACTTCAGAGGGTTGAAACTTTGCAGTTTCATATGACTGGGAGAAAAGATGTATGTAGGGAGGTGGCATTTGATGAGCGGAACAGAACTGTAAGCAATGAGGCCAGGGGAGGCCGATTTATGAAATGGTTAGAAAAATGTAAAGAAAAATTATAAGTGGGCCAGGCGCGGTGGCTTACACCTGTAACCTCAGCACTTTGGGAGGCTGAGTCAAGAGGATTGCTTGAACCCAGGAGTCCGAGACCAGCCTGGGCAACATAGCGAAACTTCGCCTCTACAAAAAATAAAAACAGTTGGCTGGGCAGGGTGGCGTTCGCGAATAGTCCCAGAGGCTGAGGCGAGAGAATCGTCTGAGCCCAGTAGGGTGAGGCTGCAGTGATCCGTGACTGTGCCACTACTGCACTCTAGCCTGGGCGATAGCATGAGACCCCGACTCAAAAAAGAGAGAGAAAAAAAGAATTAAAATTAGAATATCAAGGAGCCAAGAACGTTTCCATGAAGGAGCGATTCAGTTGCCCCAGATACCACAGAGAAGTCAAACTGAGGATGGGAAAGCTAATTTAGCAATATGGGAATCTTTATTAATTATAGCGATTTCCAAAAAATTAGAAGCCAGGGTGAATAAATATGGCTGGTAGAAGAATACAAATCACAAGGCCAAAGGGGGATGCAGAACTCAAGGGGGAAATCAGAGATAAGAGGTACATTCATTGATCACTGTATTGACCAGGCGGGTCTCAAACTCCTGGTCTCAAGGGATCCTCTTGAGTAGCTGGGACTATAGGCACAAGTCACTGCGACAGGTGAGAAGGGGTATTGACAAGAGCCCTGATGAGGCAGGAAAGAAGGTGGAGGAATTAGGCTGGGGCACTGATGGGATGATGTGAAATAAGTTTGAGCACCTTCCTCAGTCTCTGAAGTCTTTATCTTTCCAGTGATTTAGAAAGTACCATTTGAGTGTGAAGGGTAAACAAGAGGGTAGGAAAGAAGTCTTGGAAAGAGGCCAAAGTTTGGAATAGCTGTTGAAGTTAAGGGCACAAAGGCTTGTTGGGCAACATTAGAGGCCACAAGTTCGTGGTTGCACCACTCTATAAAGATTGTGTTGTTTTTCTCCAATAATGGTCTGAAGTTTGGATACTGAAGCAGAGGGTAATGGCTGAATTAATACAGGCTGAGGTCTTGTATGGCAAGGGTCTAAGGGGCAAGAAAGGAGACTATGCTAACAAATGATTACAAGTCCTGGGGTTCAAGCCAGATAAAGAAAAAAGTGAAACTAAAAGGGAACTGATAAGGAAAACACATGCCACGGATTCATCTTCTGAACTCCAGGGTCTCCTCCAGGGGTCTGGTAAGGCAGGTTAGGTCAGCCAGGTTGGAGTCCTCTATTTTAGATTTTAGAGGGGTTTCTGAAACCGCCACTAGCTTTTAATACTGTAATCAAGTGATAACAAAGGTTGTAAGTCAGGTGTTCATTTATTAAATACAAGTTTTGAACAAACACCCCAGGCAAGTTTGACAAGAAGTAATCTTCCTGGAATGTTTCAAAATACAGTTATGTTGATCAAGTTTCATTTCAATCAATCTTTTTGTTTTGTTCATTTTCTTGTTTCTAGGTTCTTTTCCTGTTTAGCAGAGCATGTGCATTATTTCCTCCTGTGATGTCAACAGTGCAGCATCAGCCTCTGGCTTGTGAAGGCACCTAGCAGACTATTGCTCTGTGCATTGGCTGCTTAGCAACCAGCATCAAATAAAGTAATGAAGCTTTTGTAGCGTGTGATACCAGATAGAAACTGGCACCTTCATCTGCACCATCAAAATACCTTTAAAGTTTCTTTCAATTTTCACATCCATTAAAACCTATGTTAAAAAACCCAGGCCAGGTTGGGTGGCTCAGCCTGTAATCCCATGCCTTGGGAGGCCGAGGTGAGTGAATTGCCTGAGCCTGTGGGTTCGAGACCCGCCCGGGCAACTTGGCAAGACCTCATCTCTACAATAAATCAAAAAAATTAGCCGGGCATGGTAGCGCACCCCTGTAGTTCCAGCTACTTGGAAGGCTGAGGCGGAAGGATCACTGGAGCCCAGCAGGTCGAGGCTGCAGTGGCTAGGAGGGGCCACTGCACTCCAGTCTGGGTGACAGAGACAGACTCCAACTCAAAACAAACAAACAAAAAAGCAACAAAAAACAAAACAAAACCTAGTCCATCTGCTAAAACATAAATAATTTCCAAGTTTAGTATGAACCTTCTGGTAAGTTATGAGCAATACCAGAGCTAAGTAAAGAGTCTTCATTTTCCTACTATATTCAGCAAAGCCAACACATAAAACTAGGTCTGTTAGAAAGTCTGCTCTAACAGAGCTGCTTCTGACTTCCAGAGAAAATACCCTTTTAAGCTTACAAGTGCATATACACACGGTGTTGTACCAAGATGATAACTTTTTGAAGTTTAAATTTCTTGGATGTCCTTAAATTACTTCACAGAAAGAAAAAAGGCACAGAGGACACTTGGTTTCCTTACCAGTAGTGACCTTAAGCTACACACTTGCCTTTGTGATGATTTTAAAGAACTTCAGCATCATCAATGGTGCCACAACCATTCATAAAAAAATTTCAGGAAAATAGCTTAAAAAAAAAAAGAAGGAAAAGAAAAGCTTGCCAGAAAAGGCTTACAATCTGAAGGTTAAGTACAGAAGTAGAATGCAGACACAGACTACAGGCAGCATGGAGGCTGTCGACTAGAGAGCCACTGGGCACAGCTGCCTTCTGAGGTTTTGTCTCCATTTTCCTCCAGTTTTCTCCTGTAAAACTCTGGTCTTCTCCCCTCTTCTTTGTAAAATGAAAACATCCTATTAGATTTGGTCTAGAAGATAAATGCAAGTAGATAGGTAGAAGCATATTTTATACATAGTTCATTCTCAGAGAGGGAAAGGATAATAAATATGAAATGAAGCTTATTTTAGAAAATAAATCCTGTCGACCTATGCCTTTACAGGCTCAGGGAGCACACTCAGTTATCTTCTGGCATTTGCAAAAGTGTCCTGGACTTCCTTTTTCATTTATAAGTACAGCAATAGGCAACACCTTCTTTATATTTAGAGTGGGAAGCCTTCTTGGGTTTGAGGCTTTCCTGTTAATACCATCAAAAATATATCAAGGACAGCTTATAGCAACTTGTGTTGAAATACCATCTTATTTCAAAGAGGCCACAGTTAACAATAATATCCTCCCAAAGAAGCAATGACTTCGGTTTCTAGATCATATCACTTTTCTTGTCACTTATGTTATCTCTGGGCTTAGATAGATGGTGGTAGAAAGACAACCCATAAGGGAATGTGCCTCTTTCACATGTTAAGCTGCACGATTGAGTAGGGAACTCAAGCTCAACTTGTGAAATTGGGGACCATCCACCTACTAACTATACAGGGCTAAGTGGGTAATTTAAAATGTCTTTGTGAACAGAGTTGTGCTCAAATTCCTACTTTGTTAGTTGATGACCTAAGGCTGTGTTATAAACAAATTTTATTTGTCTAGAATAGAATGAGTATGTTAGTAAACATGGCCACACACTGCATACATCTTATTGTGGAAGAGACAATATAAAGTGGTACTCAGTTTATATTAGACCAATATAAAAAAGCATACGGTATATATGTGTGTATATATCTCACACACTGAGATATACTGTTATTAGTGTCTTAAAATGACATTTTTCATGGTTACAATGTCTGTTGCCTAAATCTACTTAGGCCTAGTCCTTGTAGCAACAGATTTTCATAGCGAAAAGGGGCCCAACAGCCTCTTCATTCTGGAATATTTTTGATTGAAGTGTCAAAACTGTCCATTTGTCCTACCCATCCTCATAAAAAGACTGTAGGGCTAAGTTTTCAGTGGTGACAACCCCGTGGGAGAGTGTGTTTGTCTGAGATGGTATCTTTGAGTTCCAAGATAACAAAATTAAGAGCTACCAACAGAAGTTGCATAAGATTCCTTAAAAGAAAAATCCATCATCTTATTCAAGTCCACACAAACTTCGAGGTACCTGATTTTATGTGAAAAGTCGTTCAGTGACATTACAGAGCTGTAACAAGGAAAGAGGCTCAAGTCCAGACCATGAGGACTAGTATACATAAAGGGTTTTCTGATGCTATCAGCTGTCACTGAAAGATGTGACATCGTATACTTAAAGGCAGTGCTCACCAAAAACGTTTGAGCAGTACCTGGAAGAGAAACAGTAGGGTGGCAGGAACTCTCAGGAGTTGAAGTCAGCATAATTAGGAAAAGGAAGAAGGAAGAATAGGGAGGGGACAAAGGCTAGAAATGAGCGCTGATTTCTAACCCTGGTGGCACTAGACAAGAAGTGTGATTTCCTGCCAACCAGGGGAGCATCGTCAAGTTCGTAGGAATCTTAATTGTCATAATTTGAGCAAGAGCAGCTCTCTAATTTAGTAGAGGGGGGAAACAGGAAAGAAAAAGAAAAGGAACAGAACCAGAAAGAGAACCCACAAACAACTGTTTATCTACACTCTGGGTTGTTTTTTGGTTTGTTGAGTTCACAGTCTTTATTCAAGCTGTTCCTTTTGTTGTTGTTTCCTCTCTGCAAGCCACCGTTGGATTTTTTCTTTTAGTTCTGTGTTTGGCCGGATCTGGTCCATGGTAAGGGGACTACGGTTAAAAGGATCTGTTTGGTCACTGGGACAAAGAGAGAAATGGAATGGGGTTATTTTCATAAGTTCTAACATTCTAAGCCAAAAACAGAACATCCATGCATATCACTTTGGGAATGAAGCTACAGTGCATTATAACTTTGATTCAAATGCTGAATTGGGGATTCAAATGAGAAAAAGGATGCTTTAGGAGTTTTAAAAATTACTTTGTCTCTCTGCTTCTTTAATAAACTATTTCAGCACTGCTGTATAGATATTTGATTCCAGTGGCTTAAAAAAATGCTATCTGGGCCGGGCTCAGTGGCTCAGCCTGTAATCCCAGCACTTTGGGAGGCCGAGGCAAGTGGATTGCCTGAGCCCGTAGGTTCGAGACCCACCCGGGCAACTTGGCAAGACCGCATCTCTACAATAGAAAAAAAAAATGCTATCTTTCTGTCACTAACCTTTAGATTTTCTCTAGGGCAGAGACCCAGTACATTCATGTCAGTGTAAAGAACTATTATTGTTTTACTGACAGATTCTTGAAACAGTCTAAGACATTAAGGGATAGCCGGGCTCAGTGGCTCAGCCTGTAATCCCAGTGCTTTGGGAGGCTGAGGTGAGTGGACTGCCTGAGCCCGCAGGTTCAAGACCTGCATGGGCAACTTGGTGAGACCTCATCTCTACAATAAGTCAAAAATTAGCCAGGTGTGGTAGCGCGTGCCTGTAGTTCCAGCTACTTGAAAGGCTGAGGCGGAAGCCGATCGCTGGAGCCCAGCAGGTCAAGGCTGCAGTGGCCAGGAGCGGCCACTGCACTCCAGTCTGGGTGACAGAGTGAGACTCCAACTCAAAAAAAAAAAAGACATTAAGGGATAAAGCCTTGTAGACTAACATTTGATTTAGTTAGCTGATTGCAATGCAGATTAAGGTTTTGTGACAGTAAGAAGGTTCATGAAACACTTCAAGGGCTGATATATCTTCTCTCTATATTCTGAGGTCACTACAAAATATTTTTCACTGACACTTTGGAAAAGACATACCACCTAGCACAACATCACCCATGTAGTGAATGCTTAATACCAAATACCATGAAGTAGAAAGATCATTTTTTTAATATTTAAAAATTCCCTGCTGGGCTCGGTGGCTCAGCCTGTAACCCCAGCACTTTGGGAGGCTGAGGGGAATGGATTGCCTGAGCCCGTGGGTTTCAAACCCACCCAGGCAACCTGGCGAGACCTCGTCTCTACAATAAATAAAAAGTTAGCCGGCATGGTAGCACGTGCCTGTAGTTCTGGTTACTTGGAAGGCTGAGGCGGAAGGATCCCCGCAGCAGGTTGAGGCTGCAGTGGCAGGGAGCGTGCCACTGCATTCCAGTCTGGGCAACAAAGTGAGACTCCAACTCAAAAAAAAAAAATTCCCTTATGTCAACTTATATAACTTAAAGAGGCAGAGTGTCTCAGTACCCATTCCTATCAAATGCTACACTTTAAAAAGTTCAGGGGCTACTTAAGCAGCTAATAAGCTACCACTTATTACTTCATCCCTGCCTTTTCTGTGGCTATCAGGGGACAGACTCTACAGAGCAGGCAGGCTGGGGAAAATTCATAGTTACCGTGGCTGAGTATACCATATAAGTTAATCCAAATGGTGAATATAGTATAAAAACTGAATTCAAAAACACAAAACTTTGCCTTTTATATTTTTACAACGAAAATAAAACTAAGGCAATTTTAGGTCAACTTTTCCACACTGACATATTTAAAAATATGTTGACAGAAATTCTTTTCTTTTCTTTTTCTGAGTTGGAGTCTGTCGCCCAGGCTAGAGTGCAGTGGCATGCTCACGGGCACTGCAGCCTCAACCTGCTGGGCTTAGATGATCCTTCTGGCTCAGCCTTCCAAGTAGCTGGAACCACAGGTGTGCACCACCATACCCGACTAATTTTTTGATTAATTGTAGAGACAAGGTCTTATCAAGTTGCCCAGACTGGTCTTGAACCCCTGGGCTCAGGTAATCCTCTCGCCTCTGTCTCCCACAGTGCTGAGATTAAAGGCGTGAGTCACCGCGCCTGGTCAATAGAAATTATTTTCTTAAGGAAAGAAGAGGGAAGGTTAGAGACAGGATTTCTCCACAGGGTGTCTTATTTTGAATGTTTAAATTACTAACAATCAAGTGATAGCAAAATGCCTCTCAACATATCAGTAAATCAACAATATGAAGGGCGGATACAAAGTACTATATTAGGTGTCTGGGAGAAAAAGATGATAGCAAACTAACATACATCTGCTTTTGAGGCAGCTTTTTGGGACTGGCCTACCTGAGCAAATGTCTGGCAATGGTGGACCTATCCACAGTGACTCTGGAAGATGGCAGCACCACAGGGTCACACATCAGTGTGCTCATGATGGGATCCAGGAACTCATCACATGCATCTGCATAGGTCTCCTCTTCCTGTTGTTGGAGGTCTGCAAGAGACTGAGCACACAACACCTAGTAGTTAAAGTAAATTCACAGTACAGCTGAATTCAGAATGCTCAGTGACTCTACCTTAATTCTGGTTGCTAATAACCCTTGACAGTGATGACAAATCTTTGTTTTATTTTCTCAAAAACAAGTCAAGATAGATATCCTAGGAACAAGTTTAGCATTGGGTCCCCGCTGCAACTTCAAGTTGGCTTAGCTGCTGGAAGTCTTGACTATAAATGGGTTTTGTGTGTTAGCAGGTAAAGAAATATACCATATAAACATCCTTCTGGCAATAGTTCTGTTGTAAATGTCCTAATTCAAAAGGGTATGGGGGTTAGAGGATCATTTGCATAATTAGAGCCATTCATGCAGCCTGTGTATGAAAAGCAGTTTTTGGCACAAACAGGGATAGGAATGTAAACTGGCTTCAAAATTTGATTGGTATAGGAATTTAAACTGGCTCAACATTTGATTCCTTCACAACTCTAGTTCCTCAGGAATTCATCTAGCTAAGCTTTAGGCAAAGAAGCCTAACTTTTTTTTTTTTTTGAGTTGGAGTCTCACTCTGTTGCCCAGACTGGAGTGCAGTCCGCTCCCGGCCACCACAGCCTCGACCTGCTGGGCTCCGGCAATCCTTCCGCCTCAGCCTTCCAAGTAGCTGGAACTACAGGTGCACGCTACCATGCCTGGCTAATTTTTGATGTATTGTAGAGAGGAGGTCTCGCCAAGTTTCCCAAGCAGGTCTCGAACCTGCGGGCTCAGGCAATCCACTCGCCTCGGCCTCCCAAAGTGCTGGGATGACAGGCTAAGCCACTGAGCCCAGCCGAAAATAACAATATTAATAAGCATATGGAAGGTCTAGTTACTGACTGACCAAGAAGAATCATCTGTTTACATTTTCTCATGGCAATGCTTTTTTTTTTTTCCCTAAAATAAGGTAAAAGGTAGCACTGCTGAGTTGACAATGTGTATTTTTTTGAGACAGTGTCTTGCACTGTTGCCCAAGCTGGAGTGTAGTGATGTGATCAGTTTACCACAGCCTCAAACTCCTGGACTCAAGTGATCTTCCTGCCTTAGTCTCCCAAAGAACTGGGAGCTGACTTTGACCTCCTAGACTCAAGCAATCCTCCCCCGTTGGCCTCCCAAAGGGCTAGGATTACAGGCATCAGCCCCCATGTCCAGCCTCATAGTTTTTTTTTTTTTCAGGCAATGAGAATTCACTATGTTGCTCAGGCTGGAGTGAAGTGGCTATTCACAGGCATGATCATAGCACATTGCAGTCTTGAACTCCTGAGTTCAAGCAATCTTCTTGCTTCAGCCTCCCCAGTAGCTGGAACTATAGGCCTGAGTCATAAGCCTGGCTGACAATGTGATTTTTATTGAAAAAGTTAGCAAATTCTTCTCTTCCTTACCTTGATTCGCTCTGCCAAGTTGCTGAAAGCCACAATCATATTCCCAGGCTTATTTATTTTCTTCAAGACTCGAACTGTCTGTGCAAAGAGAGTTGGGGAATAGGAACGTCCATCCTTGGGCACAGTGGCACAGAAATTCTCCTCATCCCTAGAAAGTCCGCATCAGAAAAAAACTGAGTATCACAGAGTAGGTCAATGAGGGAGGAAACATGTAGGTTGCAGAACAAGGGTTCTCATCAACTATAAGCCCTCCCAAAAAGTCTTTTTGTGTAGACTTTTAATGTCCCATGAGTCATACAAAATCTACTTACTTTGCTTACTTATTTACTAAGGGAGACCCCCCAAAAAACCCTGGTATTTATAAAAAGTTGTATATTTATTTTTACATATTTAAACTCCAATCACCTTCAAAGTACTCTCTCTTTGATGCAATATACCTATCGAGATGCTTTTTCCATTACTCAACACAGTTTTTGAACCTGTCAAATTTTGATACCTTTCATTACTTCTGTCATTTTTTGTTTCACCTCTTCCACATCGGCAAAACACTTTCCTTTGAGGATTTTTTTTCATCCGGGCAAACAAAAAACATTCACTAGGGTGAGATTGAGTAACAGGAAGGGTGGGGCAAGGGGGTCCTGCTGTGTTTGTTCAAAAACTGCTGAACACTCAGCATGATGTGGGCAGGTGCATTGTCATGGTGGAAGAACCAGTCACCTGTTTGCCACAACTCAGGATGTTTCTTCTTCAAACTGACACAAACTTCTCAAAACTTTCAGATAAAAACTCTGGTTGACCATTTGATACGGAGGAAAAAATTCTGAGTGCGCAAGGGGGCTGCCGCTCTCTAAAACAGAATTCTGGGTTTTTCTGAGTCCCCTCTCAAATTTAGAGACAAGTTCTTACTATGTTGCTAGACTGGATTTGAATTCCTGGGCTCAAGTGATCCCCCTGCCTCAGCCTCCCAAGCAGCTGGGACAAAAGGTACATACCACTGTGCCTGGCTAAAATCTCCTTATTTAAAACTACAGAATATTCTTCATCAACCAACTAGAAAGTTCTTTTCTCTTTCCACATAGTAACCAACCAGTCATCCTACTGTCAAAACCCCAAATCAAAACGTTAGCATCCCCTCTGGCTTGCCCAATTCCGATCTCAAGTACCCAAGATTTAAGTAGATAGTGCAGATATCTGATACAAGCTGCTGGGGTTTGAAGTCAAATTCGCTGAAGTCCTTGACTTTTAAGGCACCCATCTTGGGGCCAACCAGGTGCTGCAGGAAGTAGTTCAGCATGGAAATGATGCGCTCAGCCAGGAAGGGATGCACAAAAAGTGATTTGATCTCTGGAAAAGAAGTTGAAGTCTCTGAAAACTTAATTAATTAGCAATTTTTTACTTATTATGCCTGGTTTATTTGGATATTTCTTGGAATTACTATTTTATTTTTCAAAAATTTTGAGAACTACTTTTAAAAAATTAAGTAATGTACTATCATTGTAGAAAATATTGACAAGCAAAACCCAAAACACATCAACCCCCCTCAAACCACACAAACTACTACTCAGAGGTAAACATTAATGTTATATATTCTCCTAGCTTTTCTGTCCATAGTCACAGCCATAAATTTTTAAAATAAAAATGATTATCATATTGTACATAAATCTCTAACTCACTGTTTTCAGTACTATATCACAAAAATCTTGTCCTTTTAGTAAGTATATGTCTCTGCTGTCCAACATTAGGTAGCCATAGGCTATTTAAGTTAATTAAAATAAAATTAAAAAAAAATTCAGTTCCTCAGTCATACTAGCCGCATTTCAAGTTTTTAACAGCCACATGTGGCTAGATATGTAGTACTGGACAGCTCAGATTTATAGAACATTTCTATCATCACAGAAAGTTCTATAGAATAGGGATGATTGACATCATTTTTATGGCTGCATAGTTTTCCAGTTGTGATTGCACCATAAGTTATTTGTTTAACCTGTCTTTACTGGTGGGAATCTGGACCACTTTCAATTTTTTTCTATTACAAATGCTGCACTTATTGATAAGCTTCATTGTGTATACATCTTATAGACTCATTTCTTTTTGTTTTTTTTTTTTTTTTTGAGTTGGAGTCTCACTCTGTCACCCAGACTGGAGTGTAGTGGCACGCTTCCGGCCACCGCAGCCTTGACCTGCTGGGCTCTGGCGATCCTTCCACCTCAGTCTTCCAAGTAGCTAGAACTATAGGCACACGCTACCACACCCGGCTAATTTTTTGATTTATTATAGAGGTGAGGTCTTGTTAAGTTGCCCAGGTGGGTCTTGAACCCGTGAGCTCAGACAATTCACTCACCTCGGCCTCCCAAAGCGTGAGATTACAGGCTGAGCCACCGAGTCCGGCCTGACTCATTTCTTCATAACAGATTTGTAAAGAACTGCTTGCTAAATCATAGGGCACGAATTCCAAAATTTTTAAAAAAATTAATACATGCCAAATTTAGCAAGTTACGTAGTACAAATAATGCTTGCTTAGTACTGTTAGTTCTTGAGTTTTCAATTTAGTAATTATCTATTGACTTTACTATAGATGAGGATTTAGCTCTCACTTTCCCTTTTTCCCCAGTACAAATGCCCTCAATATATAGTCAAATTTTTGGTTAAACAATTTGGGGTTTATTCTATTAAAATCATGTAAATATTGGCCAGGCACAGTGGCTCACACCTGTAATCCCAACACTTAATGAAGTTGAGATAGGAGGATTGCTTGAGACCAGGATTTCAAGACCAGCCTGGGCAACACAATGAGACCCTGTCTCTATTTTTTTTTTTTTTTTTTAAATTTTAAAATTAAAAAAAAAAATTTTTTTTTAAGTAGAGACAAGGTCTCGCCAACTTGCCCGGGTGGGTCTCGAACCTGCGGGCTCAGGCAATCCACTTGCATTGGCCTCCCAAAGTGCTGGGATTACAGGCTGAGCCACCGAGCCCGGTCTACAGTCTCTACTTTAAAAAAAAAAAAACAACATATAAATATCATTCACAGCAGAGCTATGTACTATCCTAATGATTATAGTTCTGTTTTAATATAACTTTTTGCTTTTTTATTTGCTTATTTTCAGAGTACCTCTTTCTAAATACCTTCCAAACTCTTCACTGGAATTAAAAACTCTCAATAGTGTCACTTCTAGCTGCTCATTTACTGTTCAGAAATTCTGGGTTTCCATCCTTCACTCCACCTGAACTGCTTGCTCTGTAGGACCGTATAGTGGCCAGACAAGCTCTTTTCATCATCATCATCATCATCATCATCCTTGGAACCTCCTCTGCTTTTCCCTTGTGTTGAATTTCACCTTCCTCTTCCTGGATTTATTTTCCCTTGAAAATGTACCTCAGCTTTAAATGTCACTGTTGAAACATTCAAACCTATTTTGACGCTTAAACCACGGTACCCTGACTTTTCTCAGGGATGTTTTAGGATCTTCTTTTAATTATGATTTCCTGAAATTTCATAATTATATACCTTATTGTATACAGGGCACTTGGTAAGCCCTTTCAATTTACAGACTATCTTTGAGTCTTGGGAACTTTTTTTTTTTTTTTTTGAGTTGGAGTCTCACTCTGTCACTCAGACTGGAGTGCAGTGGTCGCTCCCGGCCACCGCAGCCTCGACCTGCTGGGCTCCGGCGATCCTTCCACCTCAGCCTTCTGAGTAGCTGGAATTACAGGCCCGCGCTACCATGCCCGGCTGATTTTTTGATCTATTGTAGAGATGAGGTCTTGCTGCCCAGGCGGGTCTCGAACTCGCGGGCTCAGGCAATCCACTCACTCAGCCTCCCAAAGGTGCAGAATTACAGGCTGAGCCACCGAGCTCGGCGGGAACTTTTTTGTATCATTTCTTTGATAATTTTCTCCCCTCTATTTTTCTCTTTTGAGACTTCCTAGATCCATCCTTTATCCTTTCTCTTCTAATTTCCATCTCTTTTTCCTTCTGTTCTACTTTCATGGAAGAGTTCTTTGAATTTATGTTCTAACCCTTTTATTGAATATTTAAAATTACTGAAGTAAAATTTTCAGTATCTAAGAGCTCTTCCTTTTTATTGCTTGTTTGTTCTTATTTTTTGGCTGCTGTATCTTCTCTTATTCCTCTGAGATTATAAAGGGTTTTTTTAAAGCTTAAAAAAAGTTTTCATGTATTAACTGTATTATTTCACATTAGAAGATTTTCTCAAATTTCTGGTGACCAAATAATCGTTAGTTGTCATATCATATTTAACTGAGACACTAAAAATGATCATTTCAATATATAATCAATATAAAAATTACTGAGCTACTTCATATTCCTTTTTATGCTAAGTCTTGCAGTGTGTTATTTTCTACTTATAGCACATCTCATTGCTCTACATACTTGCCAGTGGAAGGGGGGAATATATATATACTTATAGCACATTTCAATTTAGACTAGCCATATGTGGCAAGTGGCTACCGAATTGAACAGTATAGCTACAGAGGGAATAGAGACAAACATCGTTGCCAGATTGACCACATCTAACCAGGATTCAAGCATATTTTTTAGATTAACATACACGTATCTATACATGTGTGTGTGCATGGACACACATATATTTATATGGCTAACTTGTCCTTAAGAGAGATTTTTACCAACTTAGGTTTTCTGGCAGCTGTGTGAAGGGGACCATTTCCTCATTCCCATGTTAACAATGGGCATTGCTATTTTGTTGAAGTTTCTCAAGTGATTCGTTTCCCCCACAGATGTGGTGGATACTGGCACCAGAGTCTGAATTCTTAATGTCAGCTGGGCTGATCCCTCAAGTGAAGCAGATCTTGGTCATGACATTTTTTGGGAAAAGCAGTGCTTCGTGTCCTTACCTGATGTTAGAAAGGCAAGGGTACCGATTGTTTCATTGGACATGATGTTATGGAAACGTGCCAGCTGTCCAAACATCTGGAGGCCAGCCTCCTTTTCTCGGCGGGCTTCTGGAGTCAGACTATCCCATTCACCTCGGTCCTTCTCAATCTGCTGAATCTTTATCTTGCTCAAATACTTCAGAAACCAGAGGTGGGATATATCAGAGAAGAAAGGGCAGTTGAAGGGACATGACATTTAAGAGGTCCTATTCAAAATCCAGCCAACTAAGGTGGGAACACCAGATACCATGTAAGAGACATGTATTTCTCAGTACAGGGCTGAAACTCAAAAATAACTTGGAAAAAAAGAATTGTGGCTTCATATAGATTTACTGCAGCTTGGGTAGATTCACAGGTAATTTCCCTAGAAATAGTATAGTACTGTGAAATAGAAAGGAGGATTAATAGTATAATATATAATTATACTAGGCTATAGTGAAACCCAGGCTATAGTGAAAAAAGGATGATTCCTTCATGAAAGATGCAAACAAACAACCCAAAAAAACTGCTTACAAAAAATCAAAGCTCTGCTAAATATGCAAGATGTGTGGAAAGAGAACCATAATTACTTAAAACTCCCTACCTCTCATCATCCTTGCTGTGGCAGCAAACAACTTGTTAAAGTACAGCATCATGGAAATATCATGTTTCATTCTTTGTGTCACATGGCTCTTGTTTAAAAGGATCTGCTTATAACAGGACCTGTTCTCATTTTCAAAGAAAACCTGTCTTGGATCTTAAAGTGTAGGACACAAAAAGCAGATCAAACCTGTCTCACAAATCAAATGCAAGTTACTTAGAGGATTGCTAATCAAGAAGAGGAGCTTGTAACTGTTTGGCAGGCTACCCTCAGATTTACCTGCTTTGTCTCCCTTTAGGTCCATGCCCTATATATCACACACCCATTGTAGGGGAGGGAAGTTCCGCTCTATGGGCAGTTAAGTTTTTATAGGCAGAATAAGCAGTTCCATAAGGGAAGTTAAAACAATGATACACGAAGGAAGGAGCTGAAGCACCCAGATGTATTTTACACTTTGTGAAACCGTTTCACAATATAGCCAAGGATTTAGGAGATGGTGGACAGATGGAGTATTGATGACTTGAAACCTTCATATGAAAAAGTAAACCAAACCAGATATTTTTTTAATGTAGTGATATGAAAATCAGAATTGTTAGGAAAGTGGATTAAAAAACATTGTCTTAGTGAGTCACTTTTCTGACGTGTTAGGATGAAAGGTTGAAAGTCACTGATCAAAAGCAAGGTCCTCTTCTTTCTGTTGTTCTGTGAACTACTTCTGCCAGTGCACCTTAATTTGGCTTCATCATGCCATCTTTTCAATTCTATGCCAAAGTATTCATCTTAGCCTATGAAACTAAAATGACCCATGATCTTGGTCTCTAATGGAATAACAACCTAGAAAGCTCTATAATGACAAGCGTGGAGGTATATTACTGATCACAAAATTTTGGTGTTCAAGACTGGCATAAGGATTGTGTTATTATGGTAAAAGGTAAACAATATGGCAAAATATATGTACTAATGATGATTTGGGGCAGTTAATTTTTTTTTTTTTTACCTGTATGGCTTCATCCAAAAGGAAGATGGCATCATTCATTAGCAGGTTAAGAAAGCGGAGGAAAAGTGGGGGATTCATGGCTTCTAAATTCTTAGAGGCATAGTCAGCCAAATCCTGTAAGTTCCAGCCCAAGAGAAAACCATTTTAGTACTGAATCACACTTGCTGAAGCTTATAGAAAGCAACTGGTTTCACCAAAAACTCTCTCACCTTAATGCTTTCCCGATAGGTATCTGTGCCCCACATGTATCTTAGAATGGGATACATGGGGCGGCGGTAATTAAACTTCTGTTCAAATTGATGGGGGTCTCCTGGAGTAAGGTAAGAGCAAAATATCAGCAAAGGTGGCACTAGAAGGGAAACAGTAAGAGCTTATGTCTATGTGTAGTCATGTTGTTTTATTTTGAATATGTCAAGGCCCCTGGCAAAATCTGTCCTGGGAATTTCTAAAAGCCTAGAGTTGTGACCAAGTATTTGCTCATTTTCTTACTGACAGAGCAAGAGGGAGAATGATATAAAGGATACTTTACCCAGCAAGAGATTAAGGGTCAAGCTATAAAATAAAAGCTAGGGGAAACAAATGCTTCCACATCTAAACATGGAGTACTTATTAGAGTCTGACTGAGCCCTCAGGGCTGGCCATTGTGGCAGTGAAAGCCATGTGCAGAATGGGACAGTAAGTAATTCCCACATTCCTCATAGACAATATCCCAACAGTGTAGCAAATTGGTTCTTGATTACTCTGAAAAATCAGGTCAGGAATTAAAAATTTGAGGCTCAGACCGCTTCTGAAATACCAAGGGTATAACTAGAGCTTTACAGTCTGGGTCATATAATGAAGGAAGAGTGTAAGATTTGAAGTCAAGGGCTGGATGTGGTGGCTCATGCTTGTAATCCCAGCACTTTGAGAGGCCAAGGCAGGAGGACTGTTTGAGACCAAGAGTTTGAGATCAGCCTAGGCAACATAGTGAGACCCTGTCTCTACAAATCAATAAAAAAAATTAGCTGGGTGTGGTAGTACCCACCTGTAGTCCCAGCTACTTGGGAGGCTGAGGTGAAAGGATTGCCTGAGCCCAAGAAGTCAAGGTTATTGTGAGCCGTGATGGTGCTGCAGCACTCTAGCCTGGGTGACAGAGTGAGACTCTGAATCAAAAAAAAAAAAAAAAAAGAACAGAAAATAAAAATAAAAAGAAAAGATTCGAAGTCAGAAGACCTAGGTTTTTTCTTTATTTTTTTTAGAGATCAGGTCTCACTATGTTCCCAGGCTAATCTCAAACTCTTGGTCTCAAGTGATACTCCTGCTTTGGCCTCCCAAAGTGCTGGGATTACAGGTGTGAGCCACCACACCTGGTATAGATCTAGGTTTTCATCCTGGCTCTGCTTAATGCAAGTCTCTTAACCTTTTTCAATGTCCACTTCCTCAGAAACAAAACAGAAACTGTACTGCATTACAACACTTGGTTATATGGTCACATAATGAGGTAATTGCAGTGATTTATTATACAACTTCTTATGTATTATAAAGACTTACAGGCACTGTTTCATTTAATCATCACTTTGATCCATTTTATTTTATTTTTTTTATATATTTTTGAGTAGGAGTCTCACTCTGTTGCCCAGGCTGGAGTGCAGTGGCATACTCACGGCCACTGCAGCCTTGACAAACTTGGCTCAGGTGACCCTTCACTCAGCCATACAAGTAGCTGGAACCACAGGCACCAACCACCACATCTGGTTAATTTTTTTTTTTTGAGTGGAGTCTCACTCTGTCACCCAGGATGGAGCACAGTGGCATGCTCATGGCCACCGCAGCCTCAATCTATTGGGCTTAGGTGATCCTTCTGCCTCAGCCTTCCAAGTAGCTGGAACTATAGGCATGTGCCACCATGCTCAGCCAATCTTTTGATTCATTGTAGAGATGAGGTCTCACCAACTTGCCCAGGCTGGTCTTGAACCCCTAGACATAGGCAATCCTCTCGCCTCTGCCTCCCAAAGTTCTGGGATTACAGGTGTGGGCCACTGCACCTGGCTCACTCTAACCCATTTTATAGATGAGGAGACTAAGGCTCAGAGGTGAGCCAGTAATAAAGCCAGAATCCAAACATAGAAAGGCAGCCAGTAATATGTTAAATACCTCTTTAAAAATGTTAGTTGTATTTATCATTGGGTGGTAGGACATTCCCCTTAATAAAAGGTCTTTAAAAACTGCTTACCATATCTTGTTTACTGGTTGAAATAGGGTACCGTTTAATCAAACACAGAGGGAATGTTGCCTGTCAGTAGTCTTAATCTAGTAGAGTGTTAGAGACTTAAGTTTTACTCAGATAGATTAATTTGAGTATGATTTGATTAAGCAATATAATAAAGTTGATAAGAGTATGCAGATTTTTTTTTAGGTGAGACAGACTTGGTCCTACCACTTATTAATTTGTATGACATGAACAAATAATTTACTCTTTTGAGCACCATGTCTTCAAATGTAAAACAGGAATAATTTAAGTGAAACTTTTCAGATGGTGACAAATTAATAGGAAAATGTAAAAAAGCACTCAGTATCAACTTGGCCTGAACATTTCTCTGACGTCCAAACACTGGTCAAGTTATGAAACTCCACTGGTATCAGCTTCTTCATGACTGCTTTACCTGTAAACTCAATGTCCACAAAAACTTTGATTAGAGCTTCTGCAAGTTGGGGAGCATATGAAAAGTTGCAGAACACACGTTTCCGGTGGAACACACTGGACACCAAAGGATTTGGAGTCTGATCCAAGTGGGGCATCACTGCTTCTAACACCTCAGCTAGTTTGGCCCTGAGGTGGGGATTCTTCATTCTGCAAAGTGGGCACAAAGCAAGATGGGCAGTTAAGCTTAGCTCCAAATTTATGACTATCTTCTCCACATGAGAAGTCAAAACCAGTCTATACCACCATTATACGAAAAAACAGGATCCACTTCTGCAGTTTTAAGTTTGTCAGTTTCTAGATGGGGTAACACAAGGTACATCATTTAACACTTGAAATGACAGTTTACCAAGTATGAGAGTGAGTACTTGTTTTTCTTTAATGCTTAGTCATTCTGTTTACTCCTCTACAATAATGCATTATTTACTGCTTACTCTTCTCTGCCAATTACATCTGGGATAAACTTGCTATTCCAAATTTTCTGAGGGTAAAGAGTAAGATATAATTATGCTACATTATCCACAACACATACAGTTTGTGCCTAAATAATATTTGTTGACTTATAACTTCTCATTAGGTATGCTCAGCTCAGTGAAAAATCGACTTCTCTCTACTTATCAATCATATGGCTCAGGTAATTGTGGATCATTTTCTTCATTGTGTAGCAAATCTTCACTTTAGTACAATGAGTTTGATTCCTTTAGCCCACACGTTAAAAAAATTAGGGAAGCAATTCTGCAAGTCACAGTATCTTCCTTTGGAAAGAGGACTAGAAGCTATGGTTGAGAAGACTTTAAATGAGAAATAACACTGACCTAAGTTTACTGCTCATCCAACTCAGAATAGCAAGAGTAAGCTTTGTTATTATGTAATTATTAGAAGATCATTAGCACCTGGCTGCCACTGGTAAGGTTTCTAGCATTATGGTAACTATTTTAACTAGGGACTAGCAGTGAAATCCCCAACATGTATCTTATTTGCAGGTTCAGATTCTCTGTGGGTAAAGTCCTTTGCTTATTATGCCTCTCAACAGCGAGACTTCTGGCTACACATAAGGATGGTCAGGTGATTCATTAATGCTAACATAACTTCGGAAGGCAACCCCTTATGATTCAGGCTTGCTTATTTCTTATTTAGAAGTCTTCGAATGTTTTGCAGCTCTAAACAGTGACAGAAGCAAGCTCTCGGTACTTCACCTTTCTATGCTTCCAGTGAAAATGGTGATAAAGTGAAGGACGTGCTCCAGGGAATCTGCTGATGTCTCTAAGATGTCATCGGCAAAGCGGCGAAGAAAAATGAGAAAATCACCCAGGTTATCTGCAAAAAATTCTAAAGAAGAAAATATTCAGTGGAATTAGCCAAACACCTGCTTATCTATACTAAGTAATATTTAAATTCCTCCCTTTCACCCTACTTAAGAGGATCTAAAAAAAACCAAATGTTTTGTTGGTGCTTAAGATGGTGGTAAGTTAATAAATACAGAATCTCCTTTAAGGTAAGCCAATTTTAATTATTATCCAAGTAAGTATATAAATAGTAATGACACAAAATATTAACACACTAGTATCCAAATACATATTTTTTTACTCAAGGTTAACTGTGATTTAAACAACCAGATGACTGGTTGACTCCTTAATAAAGACTAATGCATCAGATGACTGTGGTAGTCAGTCTCCAGGATGGTCTTCCAATGATTCTTGCCTCCTGGTATTCATGTTCTTGTGTAGTCCCCACTCCTATATTCTTTCAGGGTAGAAGATACACCCTGAGCCATCTAGCAGAATGATGGTATGTCATTCTCAAAATTAGGTTATAAAAGCTTACAGCTTCCATTTTGATCACTTGCTCTGGGGGAAGCTGGCTACCACATCATGAGTATACTAAGGAGACATACATGTGGCCTGGAAAAGAAGCTGTTGGCCAACAGCAAGAGCAGCTGAAGCCTGCCAACAACTACATGACTAGGCTTGTAAGTAATGCTCCTGCCCTAGCTGAGTCCTCAGAATCTTGATGCCTTGATTGACAGCTTGGCTACAACCTCCTGAGGGACTGAGTCAGAATTGTATAGCTGAGTGCAACTGTATTACTGACCCATGAAAACTGTGAGAACAATGTCTGTAGTTTTAAGCTGCTATATTTTGGGATAATTTGTTACACAGCAACATATGACTAATACAAGTATTGAGAATATATTACATGATTTGATTGACAACACCTGCTGACCCCTCACTGATACTGATATACACACCCACAATTTTCCTTCTGGGTTAACCAACATGAGATAATTTTTTGTTTTCTAAAAAAAGCACAGGGAGAGTCAGATGCATTTATAAGCTGAACAAACAACAACAATGATAGAAACTAACAACTCTGAAAACCCTGACTATATTTAATCCTTTGAAAACTATTTTCAGATATTGTAGCAGTGGGAACACAAGGCTGAGGTAGAAACTGTTAGTTCCCCAGTACTCTGACCAGTAGATATCTACAAATTTGAGTTTTTTCCCCAAAGACAATGAAATGATAACTAGGAAGGGTGTTTTGGAGATTAATCTTCCAAAGTGACCCAGTTAAACCTAGAAGGCTATAAACAGGAAGTTCCCAAGGAAGAGTCTGCTTACCTGGCACATAAGCCAAAGAGCTGTAGCCATCTGGCAAAGGAAAAGTTAGCTCTATTGGCTGTGACCCTTCATTGCCTATGGCCAGTTGAACCAGTAGTACAGCCATGGACACCTGCAAATTTAGGCAGTTTTGTAGCATCTGTGGTTCAGTCATAGCAGTCTTGGTAGAAAGATAGATGGTCATCAGTCGCTCAAACTGCTCACGAAGATTATCAGCAGCAGGGCTAGAACTCTGCTGAGCATCCCGCCAGGCAACCTGCAGCCGATGCAGATTTTGGTTGATTTTTACCATCTGATCATGCAACCTGCCCCCAAGAAAGCAGAAGAGACTGGGTCAGGGAGGCTTATATAGACACAGAAAAACAAATCTCCAATTATTCATTCTAGTATTCTCTGTAAGGATACAGGGAGTTGCAGCTGCAACGACACAGAAGGCATTCACAAAAGTCTCTGACAGGACAGAGGCAGAGTACACAGCACTGGGAAAAAAGTTGTCAAGTTTTCAACATAGTTGAACCTAACTGCAAGTAGTTAGAAACCTTCAGCAAGTAGTTAGCAATCTTCAGCTGAAATGCACAGAAAGGTAGCTTGGTAGAATGGGCTGTTATTATATAAAATAAATAATTATTAGGCAACATGCAAGAAGCCCAGCAGGATAGTTTTACATCACACAAGAGAAAAGATCATACTTTGATGGGATTATATGAATGGCCTTTCTTTGGTCAGTAGAAAACTAAGCTGGTGAAAAGGGTCTCTAGATTAGTAATGACCACATATAAACTAGTAGCCACTTGAGATGCAACCTAAGAGTAGCCTCCTGTTCTGTTGTTCAACATAAAATTATTCTTTACAAAAGGTCAGCCTAATATTTTCTTTCCTTTTTTTTTTTTGAGTTGGAGTCTCACTCTGTCGCTCAGACTGGAGTGCAGTGGTCGCTCCCGGCCACCGCAGCCTCGACCTGCTGGGCTCTGGCGATCCTTCCGCCTCAGCCTTCCAAGTAGCCGGAATTACAGGCATGCGCTACCACACCCGGCTGATTTTTTGATTTATTGTAGAGATGAGGTCTCGCTGCCCAGGCGGGTCTCGAACCCATGGGCTCAGGCAATCCACTCACCTCAGCCTCCCAAAGGCGCGGAATTATAGGCTGAGCCACCAAGCCCGGCTAATATTTTCTATTGAAAGGAAGACCCATAGTTCAAAGTTATGGATAACTATTTCTATGTTTATAGTCCAAAATCATCTCCTTTGGCCCTGTAATAATGTCTACGGCTAGCTAGTCAATACTGGGAAAGTAGAGGATGTGCATTGTTTGTGTTTGAATCTAGATGGTGGAGCAGGTCTCATTTAAAATGTCTATAATGGAGATATAACTCTCTAAAAACATAATTTCATTTTTTCCAGTAATTTCTTGACCAAGCCATTTTGAAAAATGCTATCAATATAAGTATCCTGAGAAGACATTAAAAATTGCTAGCCTTAATACCTCTTCCTATAACTGAATTGCTATTTTCTCCCCTTATTGTCATAATCAGCTAAATCAGAGGAAAAAAGAATGTAGAATGAAGTGCGGTTAGCACAAACCAGAACCAGTTTTTTTTTTTTTTTTTTGAGTTGGAGTCTCACTCTTTCGCCCAGACTGGAGTGCAGTGGCCGCTCCCGGCCACCGCAGCCTCGACCTGCTGGGCTCCGGCGATCCTTCCGCCTCAGCCTTCCGAGTAGCCGGAATTACAGGCGCTCGCTACCACGCCCGGCTAATTTTTTGATTTTATTGTAGAGATGAGGTCTTGCCTGACCAGGCGGGTCTCGAACCCGCGGTCTCAGGCAATCCACTCACCTCAGCCTCCCAAAGGCGCGGGATTACAGGCTGAGCCACTGAGCCCGGCTTCAGAACCAGTTTTGAAAGTCATACTCTAGTTCTCAAATCTTCACATTTCTGGAATCTTATTTATCTTATTTATTTATTTTTTGAGTTGGGCTCTCACTCTGTTGTCAAGGCTGGAGTGCAATGGCATGATAATGGTTCACTGCAGCCTGGACCTCCTGGGATTAGGGTGATCCTTCTGCCTCAGCCTCTTGAGTAGTTGGGACTACAGGCATGTGCCACCATGCCTAGCTAATTATTTTATTTTTTGTAGAGATGAGGTCTTGCTATGTTGCCTAGGCTAGTCTAAAACCCCTGAACTCAAGTGATCCTCCTGCTTCGGCCTCACAAAGTGCTGGTATTACAGGTGTGAGCCAACGTGCCTGGCCAGGATCTTCTTATTTTATATACACTGATTTTTTTGTGGTCCTATTAATCTTATTGAAATAATTTAGAAGCCGGGCTTGGTGGCTCAGTCTGTAATCCCGTGCTTTGGGAGGCTGAGGTGAGTGAATAGCTTGAGCCCGCGGGTTTGAGACCTGCCTGGGCAACTTGGCAAGACCTCATATCTACAATAAATAAAAAATCAGCTGGGCGTGGTAGTGCGTGCCTATAACTCCAGCTACTTGGAAGGCTGAGGCGGAAGGATCGCCGGAGTTCAGCAGGTCGAGGTTGCAGTGGCCGGGAGTGGCCACTGCACTCCAGTCTGGGTGACAGAGTGAGACTCCAACTCAAAAAAAAAAAAAGAAGTAATTTAGAAATATTTTCTTAATTTTTGCTCATTTTCCCTCACTACAGAGTAGAGCTTGGTCTTTTTTCTTTGGGAGTAGTAAGTAATGAAAATTCACCGGGTGTGGTGGCTCACACCTATAATCCCAATACTTTGGAAGTGGGAGAGAGGACTGCCTAAGCCCAGGGGTTCAAGACCAGCCTGGGCAACTTGGCAAGACCTCGTCTCTACAATAAATAAAAAAATTAGCCGGGCTCAGTGGCTCAGCCTGTAATCCCGCGCCTTTGGGAGGCTGAGGTGAGTGGATTGTCTGAGCCCGCGGGTTCGAGACCCGCCTGGGCAGGTGAGACCTCATCTCTTCAATAAAATCAAAAAATTAGCCGGGCGTGGTAGCGCGCGCCTGTCATTCCGGCTACTCGGAAGGCTGAGGCGGAAGGATCGCCGGCCCAGAAGGTCGAGGCTGCAGTGGCCGGGAGCGGCCACTGCACTCCAGTCTGGGTGACAGAGTGAGACTCCAACTCAAAAAAAAAAAACAAAATTAGGCTGGCTCAGTGGCTCAGCCTGTAATCTCAGTACTTTCGGAGGCCGAGGTGAGTGAATTGTCTGAGCCCGTGAGTTTGAGACCAGTCCGGGCAACTTGGCAAGACCTCATGCCTACAATAAATAAAAATTAGCTGGGTGTGGTAGAGTATGGCTGTAGTTCCAGCTACTTGGAAGACTGAGGCGGAAGGATCACCAGAGCCCAGCAGGTTGACAATGGGGTGGCCACGGGTGTGCCACTGCACTCAGCCTGGGTGACGGAGTGAGACTCCAACTAAAAAAAAAAAAAAAAAAAAAAAATTAGCCGGGCATGGTGGCCTGTAATCCCAGCACTTTAGGAGATGGAGGAGAGAGGACTGCCAGAGCCCAAAGGTTTGACACTAGCCTAGGCAACTTGGCAAGATCTTGTTTCTACATTAAATCCAAAAATTAGTTGGGTGTGTAGGCACGTGCCTGTAGTCCTAGCTACTTGGTAGAAGGATTGCCTCACCCAGCAGGTCAAGGCTGTAGTAGCTGTGACTATGTCACTGCACTGCAGCTTGGGTGAGAGAGTGAGACTTTGACTCAAAAAATAAAAAGAAAAAAATTAAGAGTAGAAAGTGAAAAGTAAAATAAAAACAATTCCACTTTTCCAGATGACAATTGGAAGATAGTGATTTAAACAATAGTAAATATAAAGAAAAATACTATTATATCTTTAATTTTAAAGTTAATGACCAAAAGTTAAAAACAAACAAATTTAAGTAATCTAGACAAAGCACATTCATGGAAACACAAGTAAATTCATACATACTCTTTTCCTACTAGATACTAATGTGAGTCTTTAGAATAAAGTGAGATTATGGCTCTAAGACTCACTTTCAACTTTTCAGTTCTCAACACAAGTAAATAGTTTATTCCTAATGACATTAGAGGAGTTACCTGTGAAATCCCAAGTACAAGGTGTACTCTGTCAGGGCAAGATTTTCTGTTACAAGATTGTAGTTCTGGGGAAACTTTGGCTCCTGCACAGCTGGGATCAAACAGGTTTCTTTGTCCAAACCTCAAAGAAGTTAAAAGGAACAGTAAATGGCTTGCCATAGACATCTATCTTGGTCTTCAGTCTTCCCTTACACCCGTTCAACTTCCATATTGTTAGCAGTGACATCCTCTTAAAAAAACAGATTTTTGTCACATTACTTCCTTGTCTAAAAACATCTTTTGGCTTCTGGCTAAAGTTACATAGTTAAATCTCTTTCCCTTTACCATGAAATCACCAAAAATTAAAAGGAGTGAAAATACTGTAGATTCTTTTCAAGTGATAGGTAACGGATCATTTCTTATTTATTCTGTGCTTTTTCTGTATTTAGGAGTATTTGTTTTTGAGCAGGTATTACATAGAAGAGTTATATAACTGGAATGAAATATGCCAAAATTAAGAGTGATTCACTTTGAGCGGTCGGATTATGAGTCATTTATTTTCTTCTTTTCACTTCTCTGTGTTGTTCAAATTTTCTCCAATCCAGTCTAACTGTCTTTCTCCCCAGACTGATTTTCTCTATTTCCCACTTCCCCATCTTTGCTCTAGCCACAATGAACTTCTTACTACCCCTGTCAACACTTTCCACAGTTTTACACCTTTATACTTGCTATTACCTCTGTATAAAGGAACTCTCTTACTCCTTTGCCTGGGTAAAACCCAACTTGCAAGATTCAGTGATGAAGATCTCTATGACTTCTGGGGAATTATTTACTCCCTCCTCTGCTCCCACAGCATAGCCCTATATCATATTAGAATTATCTGTTAATATATCTGCCCTCTTCTGGAGCCTCTGGGTCAAAAAGGACAGGAACTGTGCTTAGTTCATTTTTATAAAGAATGAATGAATGAATGAATACTCAAGGCTGCTAAACCCAGAGAGTAGGTCACGCTAAAGCACAAAATTTAAAAGCTACTAGCTATTTTAAAGTTTATTTTTAATAAATTCTACACAGTTCTTTTCTGGCTCATCTTTTTTTGAGAAAGAGACTCTTTGTGAAAAAGGATAAGGGAGTGAATGCCTTCAATATTTTACACCACACACACACACACACACACACACACAGTTTTGAGAAGTAAGGGAGTGAATGTCTTCAATATTTTACACCACACACACACACACACACACACACACACAGTTTTGAGAAGTAAGGGAGTGAATGTCTTCAATATTTTACAACACACACACACACACACACACACACACACACACACACACACACACAGTTTTGAGAAGTCTGGTTCCTCCCTACCTCTCATGTGTACATTTTTAATTTTTCGTTCTTCATCATTCAACTCCTTCATGGCACAGTAAGTAGGATTAAAGGTGAGGAGCCGAGAGGATCTGGGTTTGCAAAACGGCTGGCATAGCTTCAGGAGAGCGGCACCCAGATTTAGAAAGAAGGCATCCGAGGCATACATTTGGAAGAAGATTTCTGGCATCTGATTGGCCCAAATCTTGGTGCGGCCTGCATTTGCATGCAAACAGTTTCCAAGCCAGGACAAGATACAGTGTTTGGTTTCTGGAGAGAGCTGGAGTAAGTTCTTCAGCATCTGGTAGATCTTTTCATGGAACTGAGCCATGAACTGTTTAACCAGAAAACACAACCACAGAACATTCCAGTTTCACAAGCCTAACATTTTTTTACTCCCAAACTTTAGCAAATGGCAGTTTCTAAAAATATGCTAATCATAATCTTTCCCCTCAATCTCCCTGTGCCATCCCCCAGTTCTGATTTTAAGACATATTTCTGGGCATGTTTGAGAGATTTTCTGATCAGCTGCCAAACTACAGTCAGCATTACATTATTTTAGAGCATAGGTTGGTAAACATTTCTGCAAAGGGCTAGATGATAGGTATTTCTGACGCTGCTTGCCATATAGCCTCTGTAGCAACTATTCAACTCTACCACGATAGCATGACACCAACCTATAAACAATACATATACTAATGTGCAAGACTGTGTTCAATATAACTTTACTTACAAAAACAAGTGGCAGGCCAGATTTGGCCACTGCTGTAGCTTGCAATCCCCTACTTTAGAGAAATGTAATGATTAAATGGCGAATAGAAGACTTAAGCTATCCCCAAATCAATACTTAAATGCCTCGTGTTGGCTAGACCTCGACTATAATTTATGTGAAGAAGCCCAACTAGAGAGGACATAGGTGAAGAGAGGAAAAGAAAAAAAAAATTGGGTTTATAAACTGGAGTTCAGTCAAAAGATTTATGAGCTAAAGTTATAAAAAGAAGTTCAGCGAGAAAAAACAAGAGTTGAGGGGAAATAGTGCCACAGCAAAGGGCAAAGAGTGGCAGTAGCTTATTCTTACTCCATACGAAGGTTTATCATCTGCTCTTAGCACATGCTAAAAAGAGGGCAATTTCTTTATAGGATTATGGTAAAAGCCAAGCAGATCAGTTTGCTTTCCCAAAGAGGCTCAAGTAATCTTATCTGTATCTGCTTCCTGAGGAAACTATTTAATCTAAGATCAGGACTAGGATATCCCAGTAAACAGTTCCACCTGATGGATGTTGGCCTCCTGTACTTTGATCTCCTGGGGACTGGAACGAGATGGATTCAGAAAGTAGCCATGATTTTCTACAACACCCGGAGTCTTTAATAAGCAGGAGATATTCAGAATTACTCCCAGCAAGGTCTTCTGGTATAATTGCCCATTGCTAGGGTCTTTGGGTTGAATGTATTCTACAAAAACCTATAAGAGAAGATAAATCCTACTTATTCATCTGTATGGTAAGACAAGGTGATGGGGTAAGAGAGCTTCAAAGAGTTAAGTCTATACAACAACCAATCTTTTTCAATCTTTTCTACAGGTAAAAGATTGAAGGATAGTATTTGAAGGATAGGGAAACATAAAAGTATTACATTGCCAGCTCAACTGAATATATGTTACCACACCATATTTCAGACCTACCTTTGCCATATCCTTTTGCCTAGTGAAATAGAGAAGAATATCCAGATATGCATACAACAGGATCTGGCAGAGCTCTAGATCTTTTATTCGGCCCAATAAAATATCAAACACTGGAATCATGACTTCCGGAAATGTTCGAACCTCCTCATCCAATATCAAGGCTTCAATGACCTCTTCCAGAAACTCAGTTATATCTTCAAAATCTTACAGAAGACAAATGAGAAAGAAGGCCACAAGAATATTTATATGCCTTTACAAAGTAGCTCTTTACTTTTTTTTTTTTTTGAGTAGAAGTCTCACTCTGTCACCCAGGCTGGAGTGCAGTGGCATGCTCACAGCCATCGCAGTCCAGCCTCGACCTGCTGGGCTCAGGCGATTCTTCTACTTCAGCCTTCCAAGTAGCTGAAACTATACGTGTGCACCATCAGGCCTGGCTAATTTTTTTATTTATTTATTGTAGAGATGAGGTCTCATCAAGTTGCCCAGACTGGTCACGAACCCCTGGGCTCAGGCAATCCTCTCAACTGGGCCTCCCAAAGTGCTGGGATTATCTGGCTTGAGCCACCTCGCCCAGCCTATGACTTGGAGACTTTCTAATGCAATTAGTGAAATTTTAAATTTTAAATTCAAAATGTAAATGCTCACAGATCTGCTTATATACTCACGGGCTCCTTGGATGGCTTCCAACATCAAATCTACCAGTTGCTCATGAATGTTTTGGTCAACATAGATCTCCGGGGTGAGGAGAACTGTTCGGGCATTTGACACAGTGAGGTTCCTGCACTGCACTGCAAAAGGTAGCAGGTTCTCTGGAACTTTGGTAATCTGCAAACAGCATGAAGAAGAGAGAGAAGAATCTAATTCTCTAACCTGGAACAAGGCTAAACACAGTGAGTAGAATGAAAGACATTGTGCCCCCAAATAATATTGGTCTCCTATAGATGCACAAAAAATCATGAGATTCATTCTTGGCTTAAGGAATCACTTACCTATTAAAATTCCAATCCTGAAGTGTCAGACTTAGACTACTCTAATATTTATACCTCAGTGGAAAAGAATTTATGAGATCTTTTTATTTTTATTTTTTTTATTTTTTGAGTTGGAGTCTCACTCGGTCGCCCAGACTGGAGTGCAGTGGCCGCTCCCGGCCACCGCAGCCTCAACCTGCTGGGCTCCGGCAATCCTTCCACCTCAGCCTTCCGAGTAGCCGGAATTACAGGCATGTACTACCACACCCAGCTGATTTTTTTATTTATTGTAGAGATGAGGTCTCGCTGCCCAGGCGGGTCTTGAACCTGCGGGCTCAGGCAATCCACTCACCTCAGCCTCCCAAAGGCGCGGGATTACAGGCTGAGCCACTGAGCCCGGCTATGAGATCTTTTTAAAGGTTGTAATTTCTAAAGAGGATTTTAGAGAGAATAGGAGATACAGGTTAATTGGGGAAAGAGGCAGACCCCAGGCCACAGAAAGGAGAGAAGACAAACTAATATAAGGGGAGACCTAAGAAAAAACTGTGGGATTTATTTAATAAAAAATCGTATTTATTCTACACATTTAAACTTCAGTCACCTTCAAAGTACTCTCTGTTTGATGCAATACATCTATCGAGATGCTTTTTCTATTGCTCAATATAGTTTTTGAATATGTCAATTTTGGTGCCTTTTAGTGCTTCTGCTATTTTTGTTTCACCTATTCTACACTGGCAAATGTTTCCCTTTGAGGACTTTTTTCATCCAGGGAAACAAAAAAAGTTGCTCAGGGCGAGGTCAGGTGAACAGAGAGGGTGGGGCACAAGGGTCATGCCATTTTTAGCCAAAAACTCGTGAACATTCAGGGCGGTATGCCAGGTACATTGTCATGGTGGAAGAACCAGTCATCTCTTTGCTATAACTCAGGACATTTCTTCCACAAATCTTGACACAATCTTCTCAAAACTTCCAGATATGCCAGGTATGGTGGCTAACACCTGTAGTCCGAGCACCATGGGAGGCAGAGGCGAGAGGACTGCCTGAGCTCAGGAGTTGTGGCCAGACCTCGTCCCACAATAAATAAAAAAATTAGCTGGGAGTGGTGGTGAGAGCCTATAGTTCCAACTACTTGGAAGGTTGAGGCAGAAGGATTGCCTGAGCCCAGCAGGCTGTGGCTGTAGTGACCACGAGTGTGCCACTGTACTCCAGCCTAGGGAAGAGTGAGATTCTGACTCAAAAAAACCCAAAAAAACTTCTAGATAAAAACATTATTGACCACTTGATCCAGAGGAACAAATTCTGAGTATACTACAAGAGGTTCAACTTTCTTTTTAAGCTGGAGTCTCACTCTGTCACCCAGACTGGAGTGCAGTGGCCGCTTCCGGCCACTGCAGCCTCGACCTGCTGGGGCTCCGGCGATCCTTCTACCTCAGCCTTCCGAGTAGCCGGAATTACAGGCGTGCGCTACCACGCCCGGCTGATTTTTTGATTTATTGTAGAGATGAGGTCTCGCTGCCCAGGCGGGTCTCGAACCCGCGGGCTCAGGCAATCCACTCACTTCAGCCTCCCAAAGGCACGGGATTACAGGCTGAGCCACTGAGCCCGGCTGAGGTCCAACTTTCAAAAGATTAATTCTGAATTTCTTTTGAGTCCCCCTTGTATTGCCTCTGATATCCAGTTCCAGACATACTATGACGTGTGTAAGTTAACATAAAAGACATGGATCCAACTCTGACTCACGTGCTAAAATCATATCCAAGAGGAACAATATAATATTCAATGGGGATTATTCTTTTACCTCTTCCTTGGCTCTTTGGAAGCAGGAGTAAAGGTAACAAAAAATGTGCCTCTCCCCCGCATCTCGATCAGCAGAGAGATTTAACGTCGTAGAAGAAGTCATGTTAATCAAGTGGTTGCCTGGATCTTGAAGTAACAAGCGAGCGAAGATAGCCTATTAAGAAAAACAACCCAAACTACTAAACTATTACAAAATTAATTTTAGAACATTAAGATATAAAAGGTAATTTTGATACAGGTTATTGCAAGAATCACAGACTTGGAAGTGGAGTGAAAGGGGAAAAAAAATGACTTCAGAAAATAGAAAATTATTATATGTATAGTTATCCTAAATCATGCCTTAAGTGTCTCATAAAGCTCTAGCAAAGAGTAAGTATTAAAAGACTATCTGCTGAATGTGTTAAGAGTCAGTAATTAAACTTAAATATGAAATCTACTATTCTGTGTGATTGTTGACCTCACTCAGACTTATATAAAGATCCTTTAAATGTGTAGTTAAAGTTGTCAAGTATCTTCCCTACCAAACTTTTATTCCTTAAATGTTCATCAGGTACCTGTAAGGTACAATGCATTGTTTTGATTTTTACAGTGCTGCGGTTTGAATATCTGCCCCCTCCAAAACTCATGTTGAAACTTGATCTCCAATGTGGTGGTGTGGGGAGGTAGAGCCTAGGGGGAGGGTAATGGGGGGTGAATCCCTTACAGATGGCTTGGTGTTATTCTTGAGGCACTGAGTTGTCACTCTTACAAGACTGGATTCGTTCTCACAGGAATGGATAAGTTCTCTCCATAGTGGGTTGTTACACAGCCAGGATACCCCTCAGGTTTTCCCCTCTTCCCACATGTCTGCTTCCCCTTTGATTTTTCTTTACCATGTTGTGATGTAGCAAGAAAGTCCTTGCCAGAAGCCAAGGCCATGCCCTTAAACTTTTCAGCCTGCAAAATTTCCTGAGCTACATAAACATCTTTTCTTTATTAATTACCATCTGAAGTATTATTTTATAGCAACACAAAATGGACTAAGAAAGGAAATAAAAAAGTGACAAGCCTTGTCCTTAAACACTTGAGTCTAACAAGAAGATACCTAAGAAAGTCACAACATGATATAGAAAGTGACAATTCTTATAAGAGATGCATAGACAGATTACTCTAGGAACTCAGAGGAGGGAGTAACAACTCTTATCTCGCAAGGTTTTGTAAACAAGATGGCATTTTAACCGGTTCTTAGAGGATGGGTAGATTTGGCATGCAGCTATGGTAGGTGAGAAAATTCTAAAGGAGGAATACCACAAACAATGTAAGAAGGACCAAAAAGTCAGAGAACGGTAAGCAGAACTCAGTTGCATGGCTAATTTTTGCTAAGGGCAAACATTAGACACATAAGAATGTCACCTGTTCAACATTGCTCATATCAAGCCAGTCTTGATCTTCCAGCTCTACTGCCATTTCTTCCAAATACACACAACGACTAGGGATGCCATTCCCACTTTTCAAGCTTGGATCACCTGGGAAATGGTTTTAATTTGATAGGTTAAGGATAATGTTTCTGTCTTACACAGACAACTAATTTTGACAGTATTTCTCTTGAACTCCAAAAGTTTAACTTACGTAATACTAGAATGATCCTGATACACAAAGCAACATCTAAAGATTTAAGTCTCCCTCTCCCAAATCACAGAGAATAGGTATTAACATCATGAATAACCTAATGTCATGACATTTAAAGAGTAAACCCAGATATCAGTACTAACTTTGGAGTTTAACCACAGATAAGGTACAGAAGGAAAACACTGTCTGACACCTCTCAGAGCTTCCATCTGAATATTTAGGTTACCTCTGAGAAGTAAATGGCTTTGGCTACCATTCCCATTTCCCTCTCAAGGTAGTAAAGGCAAGTAGCTATATAGCGCAATCAGTATATCAAAATGGAAACAAAAATTAGATCTGTGTCAAAATACCATTTTTGGGTCACACCAAAGCTTCACTGAAATAGAAACCCTGTATTCCAGGGAGTAAAATGAGTGTGTCTATATGATTCTAAGAACAAATCTCTAGTCCAAGCTCAAGTAGGAAGGGTAGAATAATGAATAGATTGGCCACAAGTCTATAACTCACTGTTGTCCAGAGTAATGAGGAAGATCCTTTGGATCATGTGATTGATGTTGAGCTGTTCACATATTTCCTGCTGTGATCGGAATGAGCGGCTAATCTCAGCCACAGAGTAATCAAATTCATCCAGGCTCTCTGACACACTATTATCCGAGTCATCTGGGCTAGCTGGGAGTTCATCTGCCAGAAAATAGAAACTGTTACACCCATTTCTTTAAGACAGAATTGAGCATACTCCCTAAAATAATAAACATAACCAAGAATTTTGGATATGAAACAGATTAATCATTTAATTAGTGAACATCTCAAATCAGAGAACTATAGGGTTTTGAAATCCCTGGCTAGAAATCTTACATTTTACAGAGCAAAGTTTTATTTCTACCCATAATTATACTTCATACTGCCCCAAACAGCAACATTACCTTCCTTATACAATCCTAGTGAACAAAGAATTGCCTAGTAAGTCAAAATGCCTTTCATTATTTTAAATGTATGCTTTTTTTCTGATTTTAAGAGACCACATTTAATAATTACAAACTATGCTGGAAAATATAGTGTAGAAAGTCTTCTCTGAACCAAATCCCTAAAGACAACCACTTAGCTTACAGCGTTCCAGATTTTTTCTCTATTCCAGTGCTAATGTTCATTACTATGATATTTATTTATTTATTTTTGAGCCAGTCTCACTCTGTTGCCCAGGCTGGAGTGCAGTGGCATCCTCACAGCCACGGCAGTCTTGACCTGCTGGGCTCAGGAGATCCTTCCCCCTCAACCTTTCAAGCAGCTGGAACTACAGGCATGCACCACCATGCCTGGCTAATTTTTTGATTTGTTGTAGAGATTAGGTCGTCAAGTTGCCCAGGCTGGTCTCAAACCTGTTCACTCAGGCAATCCTCTCACCTTGACCTCTCAAAGTGCTGGGATTACAGGCGTGAACCACCATGCCGGCCATATTTATTTATTTTTAAAATGGGATCATACTATACATAATGCTTTTTCAGTTGACCTTTTAACTAAGTCAGCACAAATACCTTTCCCTGTAGGCCATTGAGAGGTCTGCCTCATTCTTTTCAATAGCTGAACTGTATTTCATCTTTTGTATGCACTGTGATTTAGATAGCTACTTCTCAATTGATGAACAATAGTGTTGATTCCAATTTTTTATGATTTTAAATACTGCACTGAATATAACTTAACTCTTTTTGCTCAACTGTATGAGTATTTCTACAGGATAAATTCCTAGAAGCAGAACTGTTGGGTCAAAGAGTTTGAACATTTAAAAAGTTAACACCTAGTCGGGTTCGGTGGCTCAGCCTGTAATCCCGCGCTTTGGGAGGCTGAGGTGAGTGGATTGCCTGAGCCCGCGGGTTCGAGACCTGCCTGGGCAACTTGGCAAGACCTCATCTCTACAATAAATCAAAAAATTAGCTGAGCGTAGTAGCGTGTGCCTGTAGTTCCAGCTACTTGGAAGGCTGAGGTGGAAGGATCGCCAGAGCCCAGCAGGTCAAGGCTGCGGTGGCCAGGAGCGTGCTACTACACTGCAGTCTGGGTGACAGAGTGAGACTCCAACTCAAAAAAAAAAAAAAAAAAAGTTAACACTTAGTACAAAGTTTCCTTCAGAAAGACTATTCTCATTTATATGCCAACCTAACGTATATGAGAGAGTGCCTGTTTGAATCCTCACAAATTCCTTAGGTAAAAAGTTATTTAATTGCTGTTTTAATTGGCATTTCTCTAATGATTGGTAAGACTGGATTTTTTATTTTATTTATGTATTTATGTATTTATTTATTTTTTGAGTTGGAGTCTCACTCCGTTACCCAGACTGGAGTGCAGTAGCACGCTCCCAGCCACCACAGCCTTGACCCGCTGGGCTCCAGCGATCCTTCTGCCTCAGTTTTCCAAGGAGCTGGAATTACAGGCACGCACTACCACGTCTGGCTAATTTTTTTTATTTATTGTAGAGATGAGGTCTCACCAAGTTGTCCGGGCGGGTCTTGAATCCGCGGGCTCAGGCAATCCACTCACCTTGGCCTCCCAAAGCACTGGGATTACAGGCTGAGCCACTGAGCCTGGCCTAGACTGGATTTTTTAATAATTTGATCATCACACATAAGTTGCCTGTCACATCTTTTCTTCCTTTATTTTCCTCTCTGGTTTGTTACTTTTTCTTACTGACAACATCCCTTTCATTTTTCTTTTTTTGAGTTGGAGTCTCACTCTTGTCGCCCAGGCTGGAGTGCATAGCATGCTCACGACCACCAAACCCTCGACCTGCTGGGCTTAGGCAATCCTTCTGCCTCAGCCTTCCAAGTAGCTAGAACTACAGACACATGCCACCACATCTGGCTAGTTTTTATGATTTATTGTAGAGATGAGGTATCACCAAGTTGCCCAGGCTGGTCTTGAACCTTGCTTCAGCCTCCCAAAGTGCTGGGATTACAGGCTGAGCCACTGCGTCTGGCCCCCTCTAATTTTTTATAAAGCAACTTAACAGAGAGCCTCTCAGAATGGCACTAATGCTGAATGACTATAAAAGTAGTGTTATTCACTATAAGTCATATACAAGTCTATACCTGGTTTTCTCTTGTAACAGAAAGGTTACTCTGAAAGTCCAGGTAAAACTCCTAGAAGTGAGAGTTGCTTCAGTATGGTTAGTTTGGTAAAAGTGGAGCTCAATATGAGGCCAAAGGTTTTGGCAGAGATTGCTGGTAGAAAACAGGTTGGACCTGGTGGCATGATAAACTCAGTGTAAACAAATTAGGATGCTGAGGTGCCAAAATAGTAACTGAACAGCATGTACTTAACTTGTCCCCACTTGGTGACTGCAATGCTCCCAACTCTAGCAGCCTTATATCTGTCTACAGCCAAAAGGATGCGAGTTCTGTTTCTCAGCTGTTATAAGTTCTCTTCTGAATTTCAATTGTGATAGAAGCTAAGAATGTGTTTAGCAAAATTTCCCTCAACCACATATTCTTAAATTATACCTTCCCATTTCCTTATTTTTCCAATTTTTCATTCTTCTTTCTCTCCAACAATCTCCTAATCCAAGGTTTCACATTCTGAGCCTGTATCACAGAAATGTGGGAGAGATTTCAGGGGCTTATAAAATCACATTAAAAGGTTAGCACTGTGGTGAGCTGTGATTATGCCACTGCACTCTAGCCTGGGTAACAGAATGAGAGACCTAGATTAAAAAAAAAAAATAAAAAGAAAAAGGTCAGCACTGCATTTATTTATCCCTTGCTTCATCCATCACTCTGTCTACCACTTATCTGTCTTGACTTTACTTCCTTTTTATTCAGTCCTAATCAGAAAACAGGCCACAAGTTATGCATCTGAATTTTTTTTGAAATAAACAAAATAAAAGGAAAATGTAAATGTTTCTCTGCTCAAAAGAAAAATATTATTATTCTTTTTGGAGAGTTAAGGGGAGCAATTTCTGATTTGAACGATTGTAAATACCCTCAGAACACTAATACATGATGTTGAGAAACATCATTCTAATTCTTTGAGTCTCTATGTCCTCCTTATAGAAGGAAGCTGGACTTGATCTTAAATTTGGTCCCAGATGAGGAAAACCATTTTCCTGGTTAGTAGATATTCTGATTTTTTCACATTAAGGCTAAGGATTAGATTTTCTCAGAAGTCTGTCTTAACAGCAGAGAGCTATAAAAGAGGCCACTTAGGGAAACAGAAGCACTTTGCTTGAGAGAGCCTCTGAAATGCTTAGCTTAAGAACAAATCTCACTTGCCTACAGGTCAAACAACTTTTAAAATTCTTCCTTTTACATCTGGCTTCCACAGGTGCATGTGACTTGCTTTCCACAACATTTACCACCTCAGTTTCCTATGTAGAAAAAAATTTATTTAAATAACTTTTACTAGATGATTAAAAAAAATTAAACAGATTGATAGCTTTGGGATCATGACTGGCATTTGTTACTATGGAACCACCTGTTATCTGGTCTCTTTTCACACAGAGGAAAAGTTAGGGAGGGAAGGACCCCAAAACAAAAACAACAAAAACAAAAAAACAATTTCTGCCCTAAACAAAGAAACAAAGAGTGGCTTTTGCCCTAAACTTAAATTCCAGTTGCAATTAAGGACTCAAAGAATACTTCATTTAGGAAGACCCCATTCTAGGTCGTCTTATCTGCTGCTATTGGCTCCTTCACTTACCGGATTGTTGCTTCAGCTGCTCTTTTTGAATTGCTGCAAACTGTTTGGCGTCAGCCAGGGAGCCAAAAAGAGCAGCAAAGGGGTTACTTGAGATGTTGTTGTTGTTCTCCTGGTCTGTCATTTCACTTTAAGGTATCCTCCATCCAGACCTAGGGGGAGGGGCTACACAAAGGACAGGCAGTAGACATAGGAGGGCAGATAACACAACAGATGTAATATACCCATAGTTGTTTCTTTTTCCATTTCTCAATACAATACATTTAAAAGACTTTTTGGTCAGGTGTGGTGGCTCACACCTGTAATCTCAGCACTTTGGAAGGTAGAGGCGAGAGGCTTGCCTGCCTAGGGGCTCGAGATCAGTCTGGGAAACTTGATGAGACCTCATCTCTATAATAAATAAAAATTAGCTGGCTGTGGTGGCACACACCTATAGTTCCAGCTACTTGGCAGGCTAAGGCAGAAGGATAGCCCGAGCCCAGCAGATTGAGACTGTGGTAGCCATGATCATACCAGCCTGGGCGACAAAGTGAGACTCTAACTCAAAAAAATAAAAAAAAAAAAACTTTGGTTAAGACTTCCCAATTCCTGTTCTAAAACTCAAGGCATTTTTGGGAAAATGGTTACATACCTACTAACTAGACATGGTGGCCTAACCTGGGGACAGCTAAAACTAAAAAGCCTAAAAAATGTTCACCTGGAATGCATTTATCAGCTAATATGTTTCTATTTGTTATACTTTTAAGAAAATAGGTTAAGTAGAAAAAATTAAAGCCAAAGAGGGAACTAATCTACGAACTGTAACAACAACGTGGCTCTTAAAAAAAAAAAAAGAATTACGGATTTCCCATAAGTCTCTAAGCTGGCAGTCTAGTTCTCATCACTGTGAAGAGGACAAGGTGGCATTTCTATTACTTAGGGCTGGAGATGGAAATTCCTTAACTACATATAAACTAAATAAAAGCCCATATTAGATTAAAAATGGCAAATCAAGACCAGAACCAGTTTAGCTGTATGTTACTGGCTTTTAATACAGATTAAGCAATCTATTCATAGGCTTAAAACTCTTAAAACTATTGATATTTCTTCCACTAAAAACTAAACAACCTTTGCTTAACTCGATATTTAACTTCCACTGTTTATGTGATTTTTTACAATACTAAAGAAACAGAAATTCCAACTATCAGGTCTACTGTAAAAGACGAAATAGATATATAGGCCAGGCTCAGTGGCTCAGCCTGTAGTAATCCCAGCACTTTGGGAGGCTGAGGCAAGGTGGATTGCCTGAGCCCGCGGGTTTGAGACCAGTTCGGGCAACTTGGTGAGACTTCGTCTCTATAATAAATAAAAAACTAGCTGCATGTGATAGCGTGCACCTGTAGTTCTGGCTACTTGGAAGGCTGAGGCAGAAGGATCGCCTGAGCCCAGCAGATCAACATGGCCATGAGCATGTTACTGCACTCCAGCTTGGACGATGCAGTGAGACTTCAACTTAAAAAAAAAAAAAGTAGATATATACCTCAAAGGTATTTAGTAAAGCTGACTGAGCCTGCATTTGCCCTCTTCTGATTACATTTCCTCATTCAGGGCCATGTGAACTCAGTGGAATGGAATAAACAGAGCTCCCTGAAAGGCTTTTTTCCCTTTCCAAAATTCTAAGGCAATAGCATAGAAATACAACACTGAAAAGGGTGGGAAGACACAAGAGTATGAATATGCTTTATGCAAGGATGCTGAACTGCTACAAGGACAGAGGCCTTAGAAAGAGTGGAGGCAAGAGTATAAGAAGAAAAAAACCATTTGGTCTACTTTTAGTTTATTGAGGTCAGACTCCTTACAAAATCATATTAACAAAAGCTAGTGCAAGTCAAAAAAATTACCCTTATTTATGGAAGGAAGACAACATTTCTTGACAATTCTGAGGGATCCTACCAGTCGCTTCGTGTACCTCTACCATTTTTCTGCATAACAGCTAATGGCTAATTAGTTTGGAATTACTTAGGCAGATCCCAGCACAGTACAGAGTTTTACAGCTTCAAGGAATTGAACTGGTAGATGCTGCTCTATGTATTTTACTTTCTGCCATGTATATTTTAGTCAAGTTTAAGAATGCAGAAAGAAGAAAAGATATCATATTTAGTGTTGAAATTAATACTAATGAAAGGGCTTGAGAGGGCTTTTCCCCATGCAATTACTGCATAAGCTTAATAATTACCCCTAATTCATGTACCAAGACTGTATCATTGTTAGCTGATCATTATTCTACTTCCATTCTAAGATACCTAGAATTCCAGAGGAATGCAAAAAGTGTAGTGAGCTCTTGTTATTTTATTTTATTTAATTTTTGAGTTGGAGTCTCACTCTGTCACCCAGACTGGAGTGCAGTGGCCGCTCCCGGCCACCGCAGCCTCGACCCCACTAGGCTCTGGCGATCCTTCTGTCTCAGCCGTCCAAGTAGCTGGAACTACAGGCACGCGCTACCACGCCTGGCTCATTTTTTGATTTATTGTAGAGATGAGGTCTCGCCAAGTTGCCCAGGCGGGTCACAAGCTCTTGTTATTTTCTGTCTCCAAAACATCATCCTCTTTTTCCAACACGACACTCAAAATTTTTCCTTTGGGTATCCACTCTACTCAGTCCATGTGTTCAAAAGGGATTGACCCACTAGCTCCAGGAATGGACATATAAGTCTGGTATGGCTAAAAAGAGTACAGTATTTTCTGGTCAAAGCAACTGGTCTAGGAATGAGCACAAGACACTGTGGCGGCCTAACAGAGTCAATGAATACCAGCTTCAGGTTTTTGGCTGAATCTATAGAAAAGGGAGCTTTTTTTTGTTTTTTGAGTTGGAGTCTCACTCTGTTGCCCAGACTGGAGTGCAGTGGCTGCTCCCGGCCACCGCAGCCTCGACCTGCTGGGCTCCGGTGATCCTTCCGCCTCAGCCTTCCGAGTAGCCGGAATTACAGGCATGCGCTACCATGCCCGGCTGATTTTTTAATTTACTGTAGAGATGAGGTCTCGCTGCCCAGGCGGGTCTCGAACCCACGGGCTCAGGCAGTCCACTCACCTCAGCCTCCCAAAGGCGCGGGATTACAGGCTGAGCCACCGAACCCAGCTGAAAAGGGAGCTTTTTAATTCTGCTTGAGTTGCTAGGCTGGTAGGATATAAACCTGGAGTTGCCACCTTTACAGCATTTAGAAAAAGCCTAGCCTAGATAAGAAAACAGAGTTGAGGGATGGAAAAAGAAAGTCTTCTGGACTTTTCAGTCATAAAAGCCAACAGATTCTCCTAAATTGCATAAGCTATCTTGAACTTAAAAAAAAAAAAATCACACAATTGAAAAAAGTCCAGATTGTTACAAAAGCCATGCATCACCTGCACAACATAAGCAGAAAAGAAGATGAGAGCCAGGAATATATGACACAGAGAAGCTCTTAAGACTAAAGAGACAAAAATAATTTATTTTGGCATTATTTCCTCCTTTCTCAATACTACATTGTCACACTACATAAAAAAGCTAGCTCTTATTACATTTTATCTATATTTTTATCAGAATTGTAAACTTTCTACATTGTATTCCTATGCAGATCTACCTTGCTAGGTTGTTAACTCTAAGTCCATATTCATATCTGAACACTTACTTTTTTTTTCTTCTGTGTCTGAATCACAAAATCCTAAATACATATTTATTGAAGGATGCAATCTTATATGTAGTTATTCCTGAATTCCCTGTAATCAATAGCACCACCCATGATCCTACTTCAAAGTAAGGGCTCTACCATTTGTCTTGGGTTGCAGCAGAAGGCCAAGCTACCAGGCCAGACACTGTAACCCTTTGGCATATGTAGAAGAGAGAATGTAACTAAATCTCTGTTGTCATCTTTACTGTCTGTGAAAAACAAAAAGGTTTTCACCTGCATCTCACTAAGCTCATCTTTTCCATATGTACTTCAAATCTGTGCACAAACTATTTACAGAAAAAGGGCTAAGACTGTGTAATCACTTACAGAAAAATTTTACAGGAAAGAGGACTAACCACTTGATGAGACCCTTTGTGGAGATGCCAGTTTAGATTTGCTCAATGAACTTACAAATGTAAATAAGATAATCAACCACTCTAAAAGAAAGGTCTGATAAAACGGAATCTTTATTTTTTATTTTTTTGAGTCAGAGTCTCACTCTGTTGCAAGACTGGCATGCAGTGGCATGCTCACAGTCACTGCAGCCTTGACCTGCTGGGCTTAGGTGACTCTTCTGCCTCAACTTTCCAAGTAGCTGGAACTACAGATGTGCACCACCATGTTGGGCTAATTTTTTGATTTACTGTAGAGATGAGGTTGCGTCAAGTTGCCCTGGCTTGTCTCAAACCCCTGGGCTCAGGAAATCTCGCCTCTGCCTTCCAAAGTGCTAGGATTACAAGTGAGAGCTATGGTGCCCAGCTGATATTTTGTTTTAATATTCAAGAATGTCACTGGGAATTTGTAATCTCCTATTTTATTTTTAAAAATTATTTATTTACTTGTAGAGACGAGGTCTTGCTATGTTGCCTAGGGTAGTCTCGAACTCCTGCGCTCAAGCAATCCTGTATACTTGGCCATGCAAAGTGCTAGGATTACAGGCGTGAGCCACTGTACCCAGCCTGTAATCTGTAATTTTTAACTGCCATACGGAGATTCAACACTATCCTGTCGTTAGTCTTTGGGATGGTACAACCACCAATCTTCAGAAGCTTTTGTATTTGATTCTTTTTTAACACATCCTCCTTGAAAACAAGTTTTGCTCTGAAATACCTCCTTCAAGGGTCTACATCTATAATAGCAATCCTACAAAATTATCTCACCTTTCCCTAATTCAAGTTTTTGTTTATTAACAGTACTGCTGATCCTTTAAGGACCACTGTCAGCTCTCATGAGTACACAGATGTTTTGACATCAGACTTGGTATTGTTTTTAAACAAAAATATTTGTAAAACTAGGATTGTTAGGCCAGGCATGGTGGCTCACACCTGTAATCTCAACACTTTGAAAGCTAAGGCAGGGGGATCGCTTGAGGCCAGGAGTTCAAGACCAGTCTGGTCAGTGTAATGAGATCTCAGCCTCAAACAACAAATAAAGTAAAACTGGGATTGTTAAATTCAAGCTCTGTTAAATCATATTCCATAAAGTCTCTGTCTTTGTGAATAATACATCAAATAAAAACAGGAATTAAAAAATGTTTTCATTTCATCATATGTTTCATCCAAGAATACTTTTAGGCCATGCTAATATGGCAACAAATCCCTTCAGCACATCTATCTGCAAGCTAGAAGGATCTCATTAAGTCAAAAAGCAGACAATATTCCTTCTTGGATACCTTATGTGGGCTCCTATGTGGGGCTGAAACAGTTATTGGCAGTGAGAATAAACACATCTTTGCTCTCAAAGCAAGGAACGGATTCCAAAGGGAAGACTTATCAAATATAAGCCCCTGAGCTGTGGTCACTCAATTTTAGAAGTGTCTTCTAAACCCAAGGACACATGAAGCTGAGTGTTAGGGAAATTATGAGTGATGAATCCATTACTTGCCTTAAGAGATGTCAACACCTTAACATATGCATTCAACTGGTCTGATTACAACTCGTCATCAATTATATCTTCTTGGCATCTGGTTATTTGTATACTCTTTATATTTATCCTTCCATGTTCCATAAGGGATTCGTGGGAAGGAGGGAGACCCACCCACCCGGAGCACGTTCTAGAGAAAAAGTCAAAAGATAAAGCAAGGACACTATTCCCGCCTTCTCCAGGAGGGGCTTGGCAAAGATGAGGAGAGAAATGTACAGAGAGACACCAAAAGCTGCGGCACTGCAAGAGGTTCCAAATCAGACAGGGTCGAACTTCATGAAGGAGCGGGAGAAGGGATTTGGAGAAAGTAAGAGACCAGGGGCTTGAAGGGACATCCCACCAGGAGAAAGTAGCCCACTGCAGAGTCAACGACTCTCTCCCCTTAAGCTACTTCCTCGCTTACCAGAGCCTGAAAGGCCAGCAGCGACGACACGACAAGCTCAGTGGCCGAAGGGCTCCCACTTCCGAGTCAGCACAGCAACCGGAGCTGACATCATCACTAAGCGCCGGGGCTTGCGGACATCATCACTCCCGCGCCGGAAGTAGGGAGTGCCAGCCCGCGCGCGAGCCTGGTTCGCAGACGCCCTCACGGCACACGCGCTAGCCTGCTGGAAGCAGGCTGGGGGCGGGGCAGAAGCGGCCGGAAGTGGCCTCGGGCTCGGATTGCCGGGCGGGGGTGGGGTCGACTGGGTCGTGTGATTTGGCGCTTGGTTGAATAGTCTTGGGAACCAGCGTATGGAGGGCGGGTATAACTTTGTGATTCCTGACTCTGCTCACAACCTCTGTGTGTTTCTGCTGTTTTCCCCATCGGTCCTATACCTTTTTGAAGCAGCTTTTGTTACTCTTCCTAGGTTTTTATTCACGAAACATTAACAGCAATAACAATAACTGTAAGTTTTGAAAATATATGAGGTGCCAGGCAGTGTTCTTTGATTGGATTTCAGGTTTGGTACCTGTAAAGCAGAGACAGTCTGCGTTCTACAAGGTCGTTTTGAGGAATACAAAAGTAATAGGACTAGCATACTTTTCAAGAGTTAAAAACGCTGTGCAGGTTGGGCGTGGGTGGCTCATGCCTGAGTCCCATCTACTCAGGATGCAGGGGTGGGAGGATCACTTGAAGCTAGGAGTTGGAAGCTGCAGTGAGCCATGATTGTGTCACTGCACTCCAGCCTGGGTGACAGAAAAAACAAAACAAAAAAACTCTGTGCAAATGAAAAGACAATTCACAGAATAAGAGAAAATAGTTGCAAATCATGTATCTGATAACGAATTAGTATCCAGAGTATATAAAGAACCCCTAGAACTCAACAGAAAACCTCAAAAATTCAATTCAAAAAAGGGCAAAGGGTTTAATAGCCATTTCTCCAGGTTTAATAGTCATTCCCTTAGTATCCGTAAGAGTGTTGGTCCTAGAACTCCCTTGGATGGCAAAATCCACAGATCCCCAAGTCCGTGATATAAAATGATGTATACAGTATTTGTATACGTGATATAAAATGATGTATACAGTATTTGCATACGACATATGCGCATCTTCCTGTATACTTTAAATCAGCTCTAGATTACTTATACTATCTAACGCAATGTAAATATTATATTGTTTAGTGAATAATGGCAAAAATCTGTACGTGGTCAGTACAGATGCAATGTTTTGTTTTCAAATATTTTTGATCCATGGTTGGTTGAATCCAGGGATGTGGAATCCACATATATGCTGGGCCAATTGTATATACAAATGGCAGATAAGCATATGAAAGAATGCTCAATATCATTAGTCATTAGGGAAATGAAAATCAAAACCATAATGAAACCGGACTCGGTGGTTCAAGCACTTTGGGAGGCAGAGGCAAGAGGATTGCCTGAGCCGGGGGTTCGAGACCAGCCTGGGCAACTTGGCAACACCTTGTCTCTACAATAAGTAAACAAATAGCTACTTGGAAGGCTAAGGCAAAAGGATCCCCTGAGCCCAGCAGGTGGAGGCTGCGGTGGTTGTGAGTATGCCACTGCACTCCAGCCTGGGCAACAGAGTGAGACTCCAACTGAAACAAACAAACACCATAATGAGATACCACTTCACATCTATGAGGATGGCTGTTATAAAAAAAAGACAAAGTAATTGTTGACAAGGACTGAATAAATTGAGAATGTAAAATAGTTTAAACTCTTTGGAAAAACAGTTTGTTGATTCTGTAAAAAGTTAAACACAGTAGAACCATATAATCCAGCAATTCCACTTTGAGATAGTTGCCAAAAAGAGCTGAAGCAGGAAATGGGATATGTGTACACCAGTATTCATAGCAGCATAACAATAGCCAATCAGTAGAAACAATCCAGAATGTTTACCAACAGATGAATGGATAAACAAAATATGGCATATAGATACAATATGAAAAGCCTTAAAAGGGCTTTTTAAGAAAAAAATCCTTAAAAAGGGCCAAGTGTGGTGGCTCACTCCTGTAATCCCAGTATGTTGGGAGGACGAGGCAAGAGGATTGCTTGAGCCCAGGAGTTTGAAACCAGCTTAGACAACATAGGAGACCTTGTCTCTACAAAACAAAACAAAACAAAAAACAAAACAAAACAAAACAAAACAAAACAAAACATTAGCCAAGCATGGTGGTGTGCATCTGCAGTGCCAGCTACTCAAGATGCTGAGATGGGAGGGTTGCTTGAGCCCAGAAGTTTGAGGCTGCAGTGAGCCGCGATGATACCTCTGTACCCCAGGTTGGGTGACAGAGTGAGACCCTGACTCAAAAAAGAAAAAAGAAAAAAAAGCCTTAATAAGAAGTGACGATCTGATATATACTACAGCATGGATGAACCTTGAAAACATTATAAGTGATATAAGCCAGACATAAAGGGACAAATACTGTATGATTCCATTTATATGTGATATCTAGAATAGGCATTCCTAAAGACAAAGTATAGTAAAGGTTAACAGGGATTGGAGGGAGGGGGGCATGGGGAGTTATTGTTTCTGTTTAGGATGATAAAAAAGTTCTGGAAATGTTAGTGGTGATTGCTATACAACATTGTGAATGTGCTTAATACCACTGAATTGCACACTTCAAAGTGGTTAAAATGGTCAGTTTTATGTTATGCATATTTTACCACACATACACACACAAAGTACTGTACAATTTTTGTGTGTCTACCATTGTTATAGTTCCTTAAGATACCATAGTGAAAAAAATGTCTTTTCCTTCCTTACAATCTGGTGAGAGTGGGGTGGTAGTATAGTATTTAAGATTAATAGACACAAAATGAATCATTCAATAGATATTTCTGGAATAACTGGGTAGCTATCTGGATTAAAATTCTTTTCTTTTTTTTTTTGTCAGAGTCTCACTCTGTCACCCAGACTGGGGTGCAGTGGCACACTCATGGTTACCCCAGCGTTGACCTGCTGGACTCCGGCGATCCTTCTACCTCAATCTTCCAAGTAGCTGGAACTACAGGCGCATGCTACCACACCTGGCTAATTTTTTGATTGATTGTAGAGATGAGGTCTCGCCAAGTTGCCCAGGCGGGTCTCGAACCCGCGGGCTCAGGCAATCCTCTCACCTTGGCCTCCCAAAGTGCTGGGATTACAGGCTGAACCACGGAGCCCAGCCTGCATTAAAATTTGGTCAGTATGTTAGACCTTACAATAAAATTAGTCCAAGGTGGGTCAAAGATATAAATGTACAAAACTAAACCATAAAAATGCTAAAGAAATTTATGAGAGAAATTTTCAAAAACAATAATCCTAAAACGGGGGAAGATTTTCTAGGCTGGGCACTGTGGCCCTTGCCTGTAATCTCAGCACTTTAGGAAGCTGAGGCAGGAGAATTGCTTGAGCCCAGGAGCCCAAGACCAGCCTAGGCAACATAGTCTAGGTGTGTGCTGGGCCCGTATCTGTAGTCTCAGCTACTCAGAAGGCTGAGGTGGGAGGATCGCTTGGGCCTAGGAGTTCAAGGCTGCGGTGAGCCATGATTGTGTCCTTGCACTCCAGCCTGGGTAACAGAGTGAGACCTCGACTCATAAATAAATAAAAGCAAGGGAAGGTTTTCTAACTATGAAATGTAACCTACAGGCCATAGCAGGCAGTTTATGTTCTACATGCAAATATTTACAAAATGTACATAAAATAACCAACCATAAGCAGGGTGAAAAAAAAAACATACATAAAATTGGAAACATACTTGCAGTTAATATCACAAAAGACCTGGTTTCCTCAATATGTAAGGGACTGGTACAAATCAATAAAAAAAGACAAAAGATGTGAGCTTATATATCATAAGTAAAAGCAAATGGTTCACTCCAATTTTTAATAAGAAAAATATAAATTAAAACAACACTAGGATGCTATTCAGAATGGCACTTGTCAAAAATTAAACAATACACTGATGGAACTTGTATGGAGTAATAGGCACTTTCACTTATTGTTATTGGTGTTATATATTGGTACAACCTCTATGAAGTGCATTTTGACAATATTTAATAAAATTACAAATGTAAATACAAGTACAAATACAAGTGTCCAACAATTCTGTTTATTTGTATTTGTTACAAAAAGTCTTATGCATGTTCAAAACAACATTTATTGTTAGAGCTAAAACTGTAAAATTGTAAAAACTACAAAAAAGAAGACAGGAAAATATCTTTGTGATTGTGGGTTTGGCAAATATTTCTTAGACATGACTCCAAAAGCACACTACATAAAAGAAAAAAATTTATAAAATGTACTTCAAAATTCAAAACTTTTACACTTTGAAAGACACCATTAAGAGAGTAAGACTCAAACTAGTTTGTTTTTTTCCCAAGTTTCCAAATCATGTATCTGACAAAGGTCTTATATATCCAAAATATATGTAACTCAATAGTAAGAAGATAAACAACTCAATTTTTAAATGGGCAAAAGATTTGAGGATACATTTTACTAAGCCTATATGTATGGCTAATAAACACATAAAAAGACACTCAATGCCATTAGTCATTAGGAAAATGCAAATGAAGACCACAATAAGTAAGATACCATCTTATACCCATAGAATGGTTACATTAAAATAAATCAATAAATGTTGGTGAGAATGCAGAGAAACAAGAGCCCTCATACACTGCAGATGGGAAAGTAAAATGATACAGCTAGTTTGGAAAACAATTTGGCAGTTTCTTAAAAAGTTAAATATAAATGTATCATGACCCAGCAATTCTTCACTCTTAGAAATCTCCTTCGAGAAACAAAAACACGTCCACAGAGAGATTGCATGAGGATGTTCACGGCAGCATTATTTATAATAGCCAAGAAATAGAAACAACCCTAATGTTCATTGATTGGTAGATAGATAAACAAAATATGGTATAGCCGCACAATAGAATACTACTCAGCAATAAAAAGAAACAAAATAATGATATGTGCTACAACAAAGATGAACCCTGAAAACATGCTAAGTAGGAGAAGCTAGATATAAAAGACCTCGTGTTGTATGATTCCATTTATATGAAATGGCCAGAAAAGGCAAATCTAAAGACACAGCAAAGAGATTAGCTGTTATTTGGATCTGAGAGTGGGAGCAGGAAGTGACTGAAAACAGCACAAGGGATCTTAAGAAAATGATACAAATATCTTAAAGCTAGATTATGGTGATTGCAACTAGATAAATTTACTAAAAATTTCTGAGCATAGGTGAAATAACTTAAGATGGATGAATTTTATGGCATGTAAATTATATTTCAATGCAATTTTTAAAAAAATGGTATGTATACAATTTGGTCATCATAGCATTGTGATAAATGTAAAAGGTTGGAACCAACTTAAATGTCCATCAAGAGATGGCAACTTAAATAAATTATAGTGTGTCTATACAATCTGACTGTATTTTTAAAAGTTCTTTATATACTATGATGAAATAATCTCCAGGTTTTATTAGGGGAAAAGTACAAGACGTAGTATGATATCATTTGTGTGAAAAACAGGGGAAGGGAGAATAATAAATACTTGAGAATTTCCTCACGTATGCCTAGAATACCTTCAGAAAGATATATAGTTTGTGTCTGGAGAGGTAAACTGTGTGGATGATGATAGAGGTGCACTGCATATTTACACCATGTGAATGATGACCTATACAGAAACTAATTAAAAATTAAAACATACACAAAAATTCTATTCAAATAGAGGGGTTATGCGATCTTTCATTTTTCTTTTATAATTTTCCCCAATAGGTGGCGCTCCCAAAACACCATACTTGTGTTTATTTTCATTTTATTTGAGAAATACCCAAATTTGCTCCGATGACCTTTCTTCTCCATTTGTCATCTCTGGGAACCTTGAGTCTAGATTTAGGGCTGTCAGTCTTTCTACTAGGAGCTCTCCAGAATGATTGGTGGATAGATAAACAAAATGCATATTCTTAGAATTGGACAGAAAGAGAACACCTGAATTGAAAAAAGAAAAAAATTGCAATTGGTTCAGAAAACTGAATAATGCTTTCAACCCTGTCTTCCTAATTGAAACTTCTGATAGATTGATTGAATCAGAACTTCTGATTGATTAGTTGGTTGGAGGGTTAGTTTAGGTCAGTGGTTCTTGAGTAAGAGTGATTTTGCACCAGAGGGGATGTTTGGACACACAATTATTTTTAGATCTATCTAAAGCAATTTATTAGGAAGAAATATACCTGGAAAACAAAGAAAATTGGTTTGGCCTTTTGTCACTAAAATGATCTACTAGGTCTAACAGAGTATCTATATTCCTTTAGCTCTTGTTTATATTGTACATGAATGGGCACTTTTTTTGGTGTGTATGAGAAAGTAGGATTTATTGAGAAAACAGAAATGCTCCCACAGTGGGAGGGGACCTGAAGGGGTGATCCTGGGCACATTTTTGATTGTCACTACTGGCATCCAGTGAATAGAGGCCAGGGATGCTGCTATGACTCCTGCAATGCACAGGACAGTCCCTCGTCACAAAGAATTAACTAGCCCAAGATGTTAATAGTGTGGATATTGAGAAATCCTTATATAGGTTAAGATTGATATTCAGCATCTCTGTAGCTTAAAGTCCTGCTCTAAGAGGATTAACAGGTACAGGCAGCATTCATATTTTCTTAGGCAAATACAATCACTACTGGATCCAATGTTTTTAGAGGAAAGCTTCCAAAACCAACCCTTCCCCTCATCCCCACCCTCCCCCCACTCCCCAGTCTGATCCCTATAGCTGCTTGAGGAAGGGAGGTAGACTTGGCAGCAGCTGAGATGGCAGGTGATGCAAAGGCACTTTCTTAGAATTGGTATGGAGGACCCCACCTACTCTGAGTTCTGAGCTCAATTCTTCCTCAGTTGGTTTCCTTGAAGGAGGCTGTATTGATCATTTTCCCGATCCTTGAGGGGCTGAAAAGGACAGCACAGATATAAGGTCATACATTGATTTTTTTTTTTTTAATAAGAGATGAGGTCTCTCTATATTTCCTAGGCAGATCTCAAACTGCTGGGCTCAAGTCATCCTCTTGCCTTGGCCTCCCAAGGTGCTGAGATTACAGGTGTGAGCCACTGCACCCAGCCCTACTGAATGCTTTTTATGTGAGATTTTGGAGTGGATACGTCATAGTTCTGAGAATGGAAAGAGAACAAGGTGATGGAGGCTTTGTATATAATTTCTTTGTATTTCTCTCTCAATGTATTCTTCAACTGTTATTCATTCTCAATCTCTTTCAACTCTTCTTTTATTTCATCTATTCTACCCACAAGGATAACTATCCCATCATCTGGCATTCTGTAAGGAGTTTCTTATCTGTATAGTATCTTCCAAATACTTGCCGCTAGTCCAAAAATTTTACCCCCACCCGCTGCAGCAATGTCTCTTCCATTTTTCATTCTCTTACCTGGTAGAGCTGGTCATTAGGCAACAGAGTCTGCTTGTCTGAAGCTGTACAAAAAATAAATAACACACACACACACACACACACAAGGTAGAATGAATAATAAATTGGGTTATATTCATACAATGGAATACTAAATAAAAATAAGAACCATCTATGCAAGAGTATGGATAAATCTCACAAGCACTTTTTTTGTAGAGACGAGGTCTCATCAAGTTGCCCAGTCTGGTCTCAAACCCACGGCTCAGGCAATTCACTCGCCTCGGCCTTCCAAAGTGCTGGGATTACAGGCTGAGCCAGTGAGCCTGACCAAGCACATTGTTAAGTGAAAGAAGTCACTTACTTACTATTGATTTACTGTGTGAGTCCATTTACATAAAGAATAAAAACTTACTTACTATTGATTTACTGTGTGAGTCCATTTACATAAAGAATAAAAACAAGCAAAATTAATTCCTGTTGTTAGAAGTCAAGACAGTGCTCACTCTTGGGGATGGGTAGTGACTGAAAGTGACCACAAGAGGGGTTTCTGTGGAATTGGTAATATTTTCTTTCTTAAATTGGGTGCTGGATGCATGGGTGTGTTTGCTTTGTTAAATGTTTTTTTTTTTGAGTTGGAGTCTCACTCGGTCGCCCAGACTGGAGTGCAGTGGCCGCTCCCAGCCACTGCAGCCTCGCCTCCTGGGCTCCGGGGATCCTTCCGCCTCAGCCTTCCGAGTAGCCGGAATTACAGGCATGCACTACCACGCCCGGTTCATTTTTTGATTTATTTCAGAGATGAGGTCTCGCTGTCCAGGCGGGTCTTGAACCCGCGGGCTCAGGCAATCCACTCACCTCAGCCTCCCAAAGGCTCGGGATTACAGGCTGAGCCACCGAGCCCAGCCCAAATATTTTTTAACTGTATGCTTGTGATTCACTTTTCTGTATGTAGGTTTTACTTGAAATAGAGAGTTTTTAAAAAGCACAGGGGGCAGGTGCAGTGGCTCATGCCTGTAATCCCAGCACTTTGGGAGGTGGAGGCAAGAGGATTGACTGAGCCCAGGGGTTCGAGATCAGCCTGGGCAACTTGGTGAGATCTCGTCTCTACAATAAATCAAGAAATACTAGCTGGGCATGGTGGTGCCTGCCTATGGTTCCAGTTACTTGGAAGGATCACCTGAACCTAGTGGGTTGAGGCTGCAGTGACCATGAGCATGCCACTGCACTCCAGTCTGGGCAACAGAGTAAGACTACTACTCAAAAATAAGATAAAATAAAATAAAAAGCACAGGGGCCAGGCTCGGTGGCTCAGCCGGTAATCTCGCGCCTTTGGGAGGCTGAGGTGAGTGGATTGCCTGAGCCCGCGGGTTCGAGACCCGCCTGGGCAGCGAGACCTCATCTCTACAATAAATCAAAAAATGAGCCGGGCGTGGTAGCGTGCGCCTGTAATTCTGGCTACTCCGAAGGCTGAGGCGGAAGGATCACCGGATCCCAGCAGGTCGAGGCTGCAGTGGCCGGGAGCGGCCACTGCACTCCAGTCTGGTGACAGAATGAGATTCCAACTCAAAAAAAAAAAAAAGAAAAGCACAGGGACAAATCAGAGAGAAACAGGTAAACATGTTGTGGTAAAACCAAGAGTACTCTTCTACTGCCTCACAGAAACAGAGCCTCCCCCAACTACGCACATTAGCAAGATGTGCCAACATCTTATACTGGGTCTATTTTGGTAGGAGGAAAGCTGAGGGTCTCAGGGGAGTCCCATCTCTCATCTAAGAACTCTTTTACCTCTTGACTGGCGAACTCCATCCTGCCCAGCAATGAAGTAGACACCAACAGAAAGGAAGAAAATGCTGATGATTTCAGCCAAGACAAAGCCGGATATGGTGGATGCGTTGAGCTCAATGCAGTTCTGACACACTGTGGGGGAAAAAGAGAGACAAGCCTCCTTCAGGATGTGAAAGTTGTTCTTCCTGGACCTTTCTCTCCTGCCTAACAGCAATAATGCCTCTGTTCGGGCAACAGCCTCCTCCCTCTGTGGGTGGTATGGCAAGGGAAGATACTTGGACCAAGACCTCAGTGCGTCTTGATGTTCCTCAGTCCCCCAGGAGTTTTGGGAATGCCCAAGTAGTCTTACTACCAGGTACCATGTGGAACAGAAGGAAGACAGATTCCCTTCTTTATGCACCATGGTACTCCACTCATTGCTGTGCTCACTGTGTAATTGCCTCTGTCTCCCCTGCCCCTCCAAACTCCGTTTACAGAAGTTACTGAATTGCTCTAATACATGGATCCCACCCAGAGGTAGACAAGGCTTTACAGGACTCGCTATGCTTTCTCAAGAAGCTGAGGGAATAGGCTTATAATGTTTAAAAAGAGGCAAGCTGAGATTAAGAGAACTGGCTGTAATCCCAGCACTTTGAGAGGCTGAGGCGAGAGGACTGCCTGAGCCCAGGGGTTTGAGACAAGCCTGGGCAACTCGATGAGACCTAGTCTCTACAATAAGTCACAAAAACTAGCCGGGTGTGGTGGTGTGTGTCTGTAGTTCCAGCTACTTGGACGGCTGAGGCGGAGGGGTCGCCTGAGCCCAGCAGGTCAAGCCTGTGGTGGCCGTGAGCGAGCCACTGCACTCCAGCCTGGGCGACAGGAAAAAAATAAAAGAGTGAGAGAGAGAGAGAAAAAAAAAAGAGAACTGTCGATTACATCACTATTTAGCACATATTTCCACCTTCACCCCAGACAGTAAGCTCACCAGAACAGCAATTTCATAACAGACAAACCAGAATGGATTACGTACTTCTATAATACATCTGGAGTGGTTCTGACTTCTTTTGTTGTCCTTTACACTGATATATCCCTCGAGGGTCCTTGGTACTACTTCCCAAGTTCAATGTATTTTTACTTGTAGTTAAATACATCTTCCTATCTTTAAACCAAGTGATATTGACATCTTTCTCGTTCAAATTACAGGTTAGAAGTACTGAGCCATCTTCTCGATTGTCATTCACTTCAATGCCATGTTTTCCTGAAAAGGGAGAAGTCGTGGCTCTGTTAGGGATCTTGTCTGTGAAATTCCCCCTGCCATAGGGTACCTGGAGAAGGTCATTAGAGCAGTGTTTCTCAGACTTTAATGCGCACACGAATCACATATGGATCGTGTTAGAATTTCAGTTTCTGTTCAGTAGTTCTGGGGAAGGGAGATTTTGCATTGGTAGCATGCTCCATGGTGACACCAATGCTGCTGGTTCATGGGTCACACTTTCAGGCGACCCTGGCTGCCATGGTTCTGTTTCTCCTGCCAGCACCAGAAAATTAAATGCTGAAGTATAGGAGAGCTGCCCAGAGCAGGTCATGGCAGGCTACTGATTTTGTTGACAATGGAGACATCAGTTACCACTCATCATTTCATCCTTCCTAAACTGTTCGCTCCTGTATGACCACTATTGTAGGAAGCCATATTTCCATGGATTTTCTCAGAGTCTGAGGATATAAAAAAGCCATTTCTCCTACCTTTTTGTGCCTGAGCCAAAGTACCTGCAAAGATAAAAGAGAGAGAGAGAGGATCAGCTGGACATGGAATTTTTCAGATGCTCTGGGGTATTCTTATGGTCATTTGAGGCCAAGATCAAGAGAGACCCTAATCCATAGGAGTGATACCTACTGGGTTGGTCACGGTGGCTCAAGTCTGTAATCCCATCACTTTGGGAGGCTGAGGCAAGAGGATTGCCTGAGCCCAGGGATTCATGACCAGCCTGGGCAACTTGGTGAGACCTGTTCTCTACAGTAAATCAAAAAATTAGCTGGGTGTGGTAGTGTGTGCCTGTAGTTCCGGCTACTTGGAAGGCTGAGGCAGAAGGATCACCTGAGCCCAGTAGGTCGACACTGGGGTGGCTGTGAGTGTGCCACTACACTCCAGCCTGGGTGACAAAGAGTGAGACTCCAACTCAAAAAAAAAAAACAAAAAAAACAAAAGAAGTGATACATACTACCCTGGATTGTAGCTTAAGTCACCAAATCAAATTCAAGGTGATAATAAATAATTTGTCTGGTCTTTGTCCTGGTTTTCTGGGAAGGAGTTTCTAACCCTTGGAATTTCATAAGTGATGGGATTGCATTTGTTACTTGTGGTGGGCCCTTTGAACACACCTGCATTTATGCTAAGGATATGACTCAAGATGGTGCTGGTCAAAAACAACAACATGGTTAGAGGATTGGGACTTTGAGGTCAGTGATATCAGTCCCAGGAGTAGAGGGGTCTAGAAATTGAGTTTGGTCAAGTACTAATGAGTCAATCAACCATGCTTGTGTAAAGATACCTTAATAAAAACTTGGTAGACCGTTCTGGTTGGTAAACTCATCAATGTACTGGGAGAGCGATGTGTTCTGATTTCACAGGGAGAGGGTATGGAAGCTCTGTGTTTGAAACCCTCCCAGACCTTCCCTTATGTGTCTTTTCATCTAGCTGGTCTTAATTTGACTTTTTATTTTTAAAAAACTGTAGTAAGAACTATTGTCAAACATGAGGGGACTGGTTTATGGGAACCTTTAGAATTTGTAGTCAGTTTGTCAGAAGTGTGAGTGGTCTGTGGACCCTTGAACTTGTAGTTGGCATTTAAAGTGAGGACAGTCTTGTTGGGGACTATGCCCTTAGCCTGTGGGATTTGACACTAACTCAAGAGGGGGTGATAGTTAGCATCAGAACTGTATTGCAATATATGTAAAGGTATTGCCTATTCAGTCCAGAATGTTCTGCTCCTTTAGCTACTCCTTGGCAAGGAGTGTGTGTGCAGTAGCCAAAACCTTTTAGAGCTGAGTTACTTATAAAGTCTTCGGCCTTGGTGATCCACTTCTTATAGAAACCCTAAATATATTAGGGGAGTTAGCTATTCAATTAGTTCTCAAATCGATCTCAAGACTTAGAGTAGTGGAGTTGCATGGTAGACATATTGTAAAGACCTAACACCGAAATTCAATTCAACTGGATTTAGTCAAAACATTTACTGGGCACTATTATGATATAACATGATCAGTCATTATAAAAGAAAAGGGTGGAGATATGAAGAATCAGTTGCTGCTTCCAAAGCATTTACAATAAAGTGGAAAAAATACATATGTAATAATGTAATAGAATTTATAAATTATCTCTTAGTACTTATATGAATGCATATGAAAGGAGGTAGAAACTATTTATTTTGCCCCAAGGGCAAGGGTATAGGAAAGTTTAATAGAGGAGGTGACATTTGGCTGGGCCTTGAAAAATAAGTAGTAATTTACCAGACAGAGAAAGGCATCCTGGGTCTTTTCCTGAATAAGATACAAATAAGAAAAATGGTTAGGGAGGTAGTATGGCTAGAGGTAGAGTGCGATAGAGGGAGGTGGTCATGAGTCAAAGTATGATGGAAATAATTAGAAGGAGTCAACTGTGTTAGAACCTCATGCAGGGTTGAACTGTTTATGAATAGTACCCAGTGATGTGCCTAGAACATGGTAGGAGCTTTATTTGTTGAGTGAATGGGGGAAAAAAAGCAAGAAAGTTAAATGAATTTCTCCTAGCCCTTCTTCCTGGACACCTGTTCACCTTGGGAAGACAAAGAGACCCCTTGTTCTAACTCAGAATCTGCAGAAAAGATCAAATTAGTTGTTGACATATTTTAATTTTGCCTATTTGAGTGCTGTTTCCTTTTAGGACTTGAGAGCTCATGCAGACAATTTCTAGACTGACTGGTGTGAGAACTTCCAGATGGCAGAGGCAATGTTCAAGTGTACACAGCTCACCGGTGGCCAAGCTGGACCCAGAGTTCAGGTTTTCTGTTGCTCAAACCAGGGCTCTTTCCACTCTTTTCAGGCTCTCAGTCCTGCCCCTCAGCTTATGAAACCTTTAGCTGACTCTTCCCATTTCCCTCAGAAATAACTCTGAACTCTCACTCCCCTCTTCATGTCTCCCACTTGGCCATCACTTATCTTAGTTTCAACGGGGAGCATTACCTCCACCTAGCTTTTTGGGAACACAGATGCTATTATGGCCCTTTCTCTTTTAGTTTACTATCCATTTACAAGCCTCTTTGTGGCCAGACCATTTGCACTTCCTTTCTTCTAGTCTCAAAGAGTAATGTTGCCTTCCCCTCTGGACCCTTGACCCTGCTCTAGACTCCATCCTTCCAACATCAACTCCATGACATTTTTCTACTCACCATCTGTTTTAGCCTTAAAATGTGCTCAAGTTTCTCTGACCCTCAAAAACATTTACTTTTATTTTATTTTAATTTTATTTAATTTTTTTGCTTTATTTATTTTTATTTTTATTTTTTTGAGTTGGAGTCTCACTCTGTCGCCCAGACTGGAGTGCAGTGGCCGCTCCCAGACACCGGAGCCTCGACCCGCTGGGCTCCAGCGATCCTTTCACCTCAGCCTTCCAAGTAGCCGGAATTACAGGCACGTGTTACCATGCCCAGCTGATTTTTTAAATTTATTTATTGTAGAGATGAGGTCTCGCCAAGTTGCCCAGGCAGGTCTCGAACCCGCGGGCTCAGGCAATCCACTCACCTCAGCCTCCCAAAGCGCGGGATTACAGGCTGAGCCACTGAGCCCAGCTAACATTTCCTTTTAGATTCTATTTTCTGCTCTACCTATAACTCACTCTCTTCTCTCTTCTCATCCAAATTTCTTTAAGAAATAGTCTACACTTTCTGACCTTCGTCTTCTGCTTTATTTGTTGAGTGAATGGGGGAATTTGGCTTATTTGGCTTTTACTCATTCTACTCCACCAAAACTGTTCTAAAGTCCCCATGACCTTAATTTTCTATATCTCACAGATTTAAACTTTTAATTATGTTTTTATATTAGTATAGTCTCTTTAGCATTTTATATTTTTGATAATCCTCTCCTTCTAGAAGTTCTCTACTCCCTTGGTTTCCATGGTATTGTACTTTTCTGATTATCCCAGCTCTTTGGCCATTATTTTATTTTTGTCCTGAAATGTTTTCTTCTCTAACTGCCCCTTAAAAGTTGGTGTCCTCACTGTTCCATCCTCAGTCCCCTCTTCTAGTACTTTGTGATTTCAATAACTTCCATGGTTTTAACTTTCCTCAATGTGTCCAGACTCTAGTTGTCAACCCAGTTTATTTCCCAACAGAATATTTGTGTTCTATATGCATTCTATATGGTACCTTACACTAAGTCTGGCAACATTAGAACTGAATCTCTCCAATTAGACTATGAGCTCTTCAGAGCATGAATTTTTATTCTTTTTTTTTTTTTTTACAACATGGTTTCGGTGAACTTTTTATTCTTTTTGTTTTTTTGAGTCAGGGTCTCACTCTGTTGCCCAGGCTGGAGTGCAGTGGCATGGTCATGACTCACTGCGTCCTCCAACTCCTGGGCTCAAGCAATCCTCCTGTGTCAGCCTCCTGAGTACCTGGTACTCTGGATGTGTGCTACAATGCTGGGCTAATTTTTTTGATTTTTTGTAGAGATGAGGTCTTGCTATGTTGCCCAGGCTGGTCTCAAACTCCTGGGTTCAAGCAATCTTTCCACCTCAGCCTTCCAAAGTGCTAGCACTATAGGCATGAGCCATTTTTCCCTGCCCAAAGTTTTTTTTATTCATTTTTATTTCCTCCTGGCCTGTCACGTATTAGGGTCTCACCCATATTTGTTGGTCAGTTGACTAACTGACCAACTGAGCCAATGATTGCTTCATAGCCCCACTGCTAACTCAAGCTCTGACTTAGGGAATACATATGTTTGCTTTCAGTTTCCTGGCCAATCCCTTTTGGGCTACATTTGAACCTAAAATGGCAGCCGCATATTCTTCTTTCTAGCCAGTTAAGTACTTGTTTTGATTTCTCAGAGATGAGAAGAACCCCATCTCTTCCACGGGACACTGCTTCTGTCTAGCAGAGAATGTTAAGAAGTTCCATTTTTGCCCTTCCTTCTTTGAACTCTAAGGTGACAGCAGAGGTAGACTCAAGGTTAAAGATCTCAATATTCCTGTCCTCCCAGTGATGGCCTCTTCTCTTGAGCCCTTCCCCAGACTGCCAGACCTCTGGCAGGCCCTTACCTTGAAGAAGGACAGCCAGGATGAGGCCCGCCAGACCCTTCCCCTGCTCCATGTCAGTCTCTGTCTTTCCCCCGCAGAAGCGCAGAACAGCCCTTAGCAGCCCGCCAACCTGTGCGGCAGCTACACAGGCTCCACCCAGCACCCTTCAGGCTGGGGCCCTATTGAGAAGGCAAGAGCCCAAAGCCTCCACCCTCTGCTGTGAGTGTGGGCAGCAGGGGCCTCTGCAGGGTTGTGGGTGCAGGTGCCTCTTGTTTTTCTGTTAAGGGGTGGAGAGCAGAGGTGGTGGGAGGGGAGAGCTGGATTCCTACCCAGGGACTTGTCTTGCACAGAGAACCACTCTGGATTCTGGATAGGAGATGATCCTTGGTTCCTTTCTTCATGAGGAGATAAATATCCCTGCCTCCGGTTATTGCTAGGATTTCAGCCAGTTGTCTGTTGCTAGTTGTTGCTATAATGAATGAATTTAGGCAGGACTCTCAGGTGCTTGAGGCCGGAGTCCGAATGGAAAACCACCTCAGCCCAGGTCTTCCGTCAGAACATTTTTCACTATTCTTTTGAGATCATCAAAGAGGTACTACCTGCCTGGAAGGGAGTAGGTGGAAAAATTTCAAGAAGACAGGCCAGCACATTTTCAGGGGCCAGGGCCTGGACTGAGTGTCCAGGATCTCAGGCCCCTGTCTCCCTCAACCAGTCAGTCAGGGAGTCAATACAATTTAGAGAGCTCTCATATGTGCCAGGCATAAGACATAGCAGTGTATCTTATGACTCTGTCCTCAGGTAAAAGGCAGTTTCACTGCAGCAGTGTGAAGAGTTTTGAATCATCATAGGTCACAGGAGAAAAAGTCAATTTGTCTCCTGTGGCTACTCCATACTGCCTGCGAGTCAGTTATGTTGTTATTAATAACTACTCTTATTGAGCACATAAGATGTGTTAGGCACCATGCAAACATTTAGTTAGAATCCTTATGGTGATACTGAGGAAATCAGATGCTGAAAAATTCCATGATTGTCCCAGGCCCCATGGGTAGGCAGTATTGGAGCCAGGATTCAAATCTCTGGTTGGGGGACTCTAAAGCCCAACCTCCCATCTGCAAGAAGCTGGTGTCCCAGGCTGGTATCTCAGGCTGACTGAGTGCCCAGTGAAAGGTCCTGAGAAAGACCAGCTTCCAGGAGAAACTTAGCTGCTATGGCTTGTGTGATGGGACCAATGGCTTCTCTCAAGGGGCTTTGAGAGGTGGCCGTTTTTTGGTGGTGAATAAATGTAGTTTTGTTGTCAATAGGGATTCTTTAGGCAACTTTTCCCAATTTTCTGCCAGCCCCCTGCTCAGATAAAGAGCAATTTGCACCAGCTTATTTTCTAGCCCACCCCTGGCCTGCCCCCATCCTGACAGTCTCCCATCATCAACAGCAGAAAGCAGAGAAGCAGACATCTTCTACTTCCTCTCTCACTCTTTTTCCGGTACCCATAAGTCAGTTAGGGGAGGGCAGATCTCACTCTGGCTGATAGTTCGGTGATCTGGCTTTATCTACTGGATGAATTCCCCTGGGAGATGGAACACAGTAGGTTTCTAGCTGGCCTAATACTGGCTATCCTTCTCCCCCAAGGTAAGGCTACTCCAGGTGGGTGGGGAGAGGGGATCTGAGAGGGGCATTGCCACTGGGAATGAGGCCTACTTGAAAGTGCTTCTCAACTCTACCAGGCACCCCAGAGTATCAGTAGTGCAGGGTTGGGATATAGCACAGGGTCTGAGGAACAGGCTCTTGGCTTTGACCAACCCCAGTCAGGTGTGCATGTAGGCCTTGAATGTCTTCCTGGAGGTCTGGGCCAGACATCTGTAGGAAACGGTTCAGTATGTATATGCCCAAACCTGTAGCTGGTAATGGGAACAGAGCTATGTGTGCTGCTCCTTCCAGGACTGGTGGATTCTGGGATCTGGACTTATGCTTGTTTGGCTGTGATTATGCCACCCCCTGGAGCCATGTGCTAGCACTCATGGGAATGTTTTAAGAGAAAAGGAGGGAGGGCCGATTTGGGGGGTTATTACATTGTTAGTAGGATTTCAACTCATCCCAGTTGGCCAGTTTCAGTTTTAAAACTTCCAAGTTTCACATATCAGAAATCCCCTCAATTCCAAGCAAACTGGGTTCAATGGTCACCTAATAGTCAGCTGCACTGGCGTACCTAGGATTTCCACTGGAAACAGATCCCCAAGGAAGGCATGAGCATAGTATGTGAAGCATTTGTTGTACTGAGGGTGTTTGCCTCTCCCTGAGTACACATGAATACCTTTCTGACCGGTGTTGGAGGCATGAGAAGTAGCTTTTTGGGGGTTATCTAGAAGGTGCTCTTGTATCCAAATTGGTGACTGTGTGTGAAGCTCAGGGAGAATGCAGATTCCACTTTTCCTTGGGTTTGGAGGTATAGATTCCAATGCTTCTGTGGCTTGTGGAGATGCTCTCAGGCTGTCAAAGCAATTCAGTGGATCTAGAAGGGCACTCTGTTCACCTCCTGCCCTTAAATTCTCCCTAAGACTTGACTCATGTGGAGTTCAAGGAACAGATTTAGTAAAAAAAAAAAATTTTTTTCTGTTTAACCAAGGGCAAAACAACTAAAAATCTGTACATGAGATTTCCCCAGGTCAATTTCTGGACCACTGGGCTAGAAATTTATAGCAGCATGGGTAAGGCTTCTGTAGTGAGAGTGCCATTCTCTTGGTTGTTGGAGCGGGAGTAATGTGGAGAGATGAGGACAAGAAGTTGAAGTGAGAGTGTTGTAGGTGGCTGGGAAGTAGAATTAGAAGTTTTCTTGAAAGATGCAGACACCTCCAACTGAGGAATGTTCTTCTGCCTTTCCATATTTCTTGGGTGTTTCAGTTTTCTATCCTCCCCTACTTCTCATCAATGGTCTTAACTCGTTTCCAGGAAGATTCTTGAATCAACCTAGCTCTGAGGTTTCCTGTTTGTACCAAGTCCCTCAGGACCTGTCCTCTTCTTGTACTGCATCCTTGTGTCCTTCCTGGTCTCTGCAGTTTTGGGGGGGATTTCCTGAACGCTTTTTCTTGTGACTTCTCTATCTCTCAATAGATACCACAAACTGCCCTAGTCTAGGAAAGTGGTGTTTCTCAAGTATGAACCTCCGAAGAACCAGGGCCTGGTGCAGATCAAAGAGCTGTCTCTAATTGTGGTATTTTCCCCCCTTAGTGAGCCCCTTCCAGATACCTGTGGAGGAACTTGAGGACAGAGTGTTTGTGAATTGCAATACCAGCATCACGTGGGTAGAGGGAACGATGGGAACGCTGAGCTTAAACAATACAAGGATGGACTTGGGAAAACGCATCCTGGACCCACGAGGAATGTATAGGTGTAGTGGGACAGATACAAAAGACAAAAAATTATCTACTGTGCAAGTGTATTATCGAAGTAGGTGATTCCTGGACCCTTTGGGTTAGAATAAATGGGGCCTTTGGATATGATAACTTTTTTTTTTTGGAGAAAGTAGGATTTATTTAGGACAGAAAAGCTCCCACAGTGGGAGGGGATCTGAAGGGATTGCCCTGGATGTGAGAACTTTTTTACTACAGGGGGCTATGGTGAACCCATTTGTTCTCTAAACACATTGGCATCACTCCTCTTGTAATGGTACAAAGCCAGATTTGGGGGCCTTCAAACTGGGAGAGAGAACTTAACAAAGCATGACAGAGCAGCCTTGGCTGGGATAGTGGTTTGGCCCACCACCTTGTTTAAAGTCCCACAAAGCTGAGATTACTTCTTGGCTCTCCTCAGAGATTCCTTGGGATGAAGGATGGAGGGAGATGTGGCAAGGCCGTAGCCAGGCTTTTCTCCCAGGATCTTACTAAAGTTTGGGTTTTGGCATGAGAGATCCTAGGACTACTCTAGGAAACAGAGATAGTTCCCTGATCTTAAAGTCTCTCTATCTCTCCTCTCTCCTCCCACCCACCTTAGTGTGCCAGAACTGTGTGGATCTGAACCTAGCCACCCTAGCTGGCATTATCATCACTGATGTCATTGCCACTCTGCTTCTTGCTTTGGGAGTCTACTGCTTTGCTGGACACGACACTGGAAGGCTTTCTGGAGGTTAGTGGGAGGGCAGTGAGAGAGAGAGAGAGAGAGAGAGAGAGAGAGAGTTAACCAATGAGCTCATGCACCAGCTAAGGAATGGGGCTGGGGCTGGTGGTATGTTCAGGTTCAGTCTCATCTGGGAGTCGCTCCTACAGTCTCTTGAGGACTCCTACAACCAATTCTTGAGATAACTTGTATGCCCATATTGCTCATGTAGACTTCTGAGGGTGTGGGAGGATATGACCAGTTGCAGTCCCCCTGCAGTATTTATGGGGTCTCACTGTCCCATCCTCCTAGGCTGCTTATGATTCTTTCTCTGGTTCTTCTAGCTGCGGACACGCAAGCTCTGTTGAGGAATGACCAGGTCTATCAGGTGAGTCCTGAGGGGAAGGAGGTGAGGAGTGGGGAGGAGTGAATGGAGATAGAGAGGCTGACACTGGGTGTTGTGTTCATGTTTGAAGGGTCTTAGTGGAAAATTCTTTGCTGGGGGTGACTGGAGAGGTCAGGCAGTAGTTTTCTTTGGGGCCTACTGAGGCTCTTCCCAGAAGAGTTTGACCCTACCTTCTGATTGTTCTTCCTTCTCCTCTCTTAGCCCCTCCGAGATCGGGATGATGCTCAGTACAGCCGTCTTGGAGGGAACTGGCCTCGGAACAAGTGAACTTGGGATTGATGGCTTCTAGAAGCTTCAATCATCAACTGTACCTTTCCTATTTTCTCAGCCAATAAAATACCTTCTTTCACTCAGCAGCTGCCTGGATGTTTCAAGGCTTCTGGGCAAGGGGTGGGAGTTGTTCTGACTTGGCCGGGACCTTGCTCTCCCTGGCCAGCTGGATCCTTCTTTCATCTCTTCCCTTTTTCTGCCCCACGTGGTCTTTCACCATGTCCTGGCCCACCGGTGTTTCTAGTTGCTAAGATCACTGGGTGAAGGGTCTACTCCATCACACTCTCATAGCTACTTGTTACTCCAGTCCCCTACCACAACTCTTCTAGGGTTTTAGCTGCCTCACCACAGCCAAGGGCAGGCTGTGCCACAGGAACCCAAACACATAGAAGTTTCCATGACATCATGAGTGGGGGTGGTAGAGACATCAAGGGGCCCTGGGATGCACTTCTCACCACGACTCAGAGGGTGTGTAGCAAAGTCCCATTGCTAAGGAGCTGGCCTCAGCTCTGTGGCCCTGTTGAGCAGTTGCTACTAGCTGTGAGGACGTCTCGGTTTAAGCCCCTTTATCTGCCTTTCCCCAGGACCTGCCCCTGGCTTGCTCTTGCCTTCTGTATGATAAACTGAAATCAGAAACCTTTTATTACAACATGTTATCCCTCTCCATCTAGAAAGCAGGAGTTTGAGAACAGGAGTTGGGAAGATTTTTTTCTTTTTCTTTTCTCCCTTCCCTTCCCTCTCCTCCCCTTCCCTTCCCTTCCTTTCCTTTCCCTTCCCTTCCCTCTCCTCCCCTTCCC